CTTTCCCTTGATATTTTATTATATTGGAGTTACACAATATTTTAATAGACAAGGACTGAAAAGGTATCTATAGCTTAGACTTGTTTGAGTTATGTTACCACCTAGGTAATTCCTTGCAGAGCCTTGGGAAAAAGAGTCTCCTTGTGAAAGATTTAAGTAGAGGGATCTTGGTCCTTGGCTTTATGCTGAAACAAGGAATAGCAAGCCAGATTCCCATATTGCTTTAAAGTAAATGAAAGTAGGACAGAAAAACCCCAACAGTCTTTCTGGTGTTTGTATGATCTGGAAGAAAACAGAGCAGGAGGTGCAGTAGGGCTACAGTTCATCTTTCATGGAGTATAAAGGCTTTCCTTAAATAAATGTATTAATATATTGGACATATGCTATTACAACTGCTGAGACTTCTACCTGGAAAAATTTTCAGCCACCCCCTCCTTGGAGATGCTGGTTCTGACAGGCTGCAACTCCCAATATCTCTACCCAGCTAACAATGCACAGCACCTTGTTCAAACAAGACTGGTCTTCATTTCACACTCTCCCCCAGGGAATATCCATTTTTCTCTTCATACTGTATCTTTATGACTGATGCAATCAGATTCTGGAAACCTGCCTTATTAGTTTATATTCCAGCTTCTTAGGGAATGATGTTAATTTTCCATTGTAGGACCAGAAGATTTTAGATGTGCTAGATCTTGTCTATAAGAAACAACAAAAAAAGTGGCACACACAGTACCATGCTAAGAAATGGACTAGAATGAACAGCATTCCTTGCACAGAAATTTTAGGGGTTCCAAAAAATGACACTCCTCAGTCCAACAGTGCCTGAAGCAAGGTATTTTACAATTGCAATATGAATAAATAAATGTGCATTTTCTTACTTATTCACCTGAGATATTCTGCCTAATTTCTTCATCAGAATTGTTTTCTTCCTAGATCTGTGGTTTACTAAGACTTTACACTGTGATGGCCAAAGAGTTCCATTATATCCATTAAAGATTAGATGATTTTCTTTTGTTTCCCACAGCAAATAGGATCCTGTTCATGTCCCAAACAGAATGTCAGTAGTTGGAATGATGTTTTCTTAAGGTGCATATAAGATTAAAGACTGAAATCAGATGCAGTGTTGCCAAAGCCTTTGTAATATGCATGTTTTTCATGGCAAGATGATTGACAAGAATTGCAGTAAGGTCCTGAAGGGGATATTTCACCTGGCCCATCAAAATTCAATGTAGAGGATTAGAACTAAGAAGAGCTGACAATATTGACTTTGAGTACCACAACGGAAACATAATTAGCTTTTTGACATGTAGTGGACAGAAATATTCCATTTTTAAAAAAATCAGTTAAGAGTAATTACTGCATATCTGTTGCATGCTGCCCTGGGAAAAAGGAAAAAAAAAAAGAAAGAAAAAAGGTCTGCTCTGCTGTTTCCTCTTTTCCCAGTAAAATCCAAGTTTGGCACTAGAATAAATGCATACAAACCCAGCCTTTCTGCTGGAAGAACATCAGGAAAACTTCGTGCATTAAAGTAAAAACCTCTCTTAAAAGAGAGCACACAGATCTGAAAGAATGAAAAAGTCAATGAATTTTATACAAGTTTACGTATTGCAAAACAAACTGTCTGCACTATGCTTATTAAAGGCATATTTCATTGCCTAATCATAGATGTCTATTGTACCTTTTATGTTTTGAATCATAATTGCAGCCTTTTCCCCAACTGTAATAATGAAAGACATTTTGGCATATGCTTATATTGATTCCCCTTTAACAAAGCACTTAAGACAAATACTTGCATCCCACTGAAATTAATGGCCAACCTTAACTTTGAGTACACTGATGTCACTGGCATTTAGACAAATGGCAATTTATATGGACACAGAATTGCCTACTTTGTTGGACAGACACGAGCCTCTGAAGAGAAGTCTTCAAACTCAAAAGTCATTAAAATACTCAACTGCTCTGGTTAGAAACACTATGGCATCCATGGCTTTTATGTTTTTATCAGAATAAATGTGCTAGCAAAAATATGTGTAGCTGTTGTACTGAAATATCTTTTCTAGCTCCTGGTCTGGAATAATCTAAACCGTAGAAACAATTTTCAGTAGATTTACACAAAATACAGTACATGCAGAAATGGGAAAAGGCAAAACTTAACTGTACACAACACCTTGACAACAAGCTATCATTAGGTATAATATAAATAATGCACTAAATTCTATTCCAATTTTATTTCGTCTGTATGCTAATCTGTAATTCTTTTTGCTTTGGGATTAAGTGGCATATGAAAATAAGCAAAAAAAAAATTATGCTTACCTTAGTACATTTTTTAGGATTGTTACTAGTTATCCTAATTAGTTAGAACCTGCAATTAAATACTTCAGAAAATTAAAATAGATTAAAATGCAGAAATAGAAATGCCTTTACATAGAGTAAAGTCAATATTCATTCTCAGCATCAAATCCAGGGCATATACTGAGGCAATACTAAGCTGTTTCAGAAACTCACCTGACTTAATGGGAACTTCTCACCAAAATCACTGGATTTAAAGATATAAAAGAAAATTGAAATGAATTTAACAATGTACTCCCTTAGTTTTCTGACAGAGAAGTTTCTCAGAGCTCTAAATATATTTTGCTTGCCATTTCTCTATTAATTTTCCAATATTTTACCTAGCAGTATACACAGCTACTAACTGGCTTAGAGCACAGAGGGGACAAAATGCAGTGCTACAAATTCAAACCCCAAAGTAAACAGCTCATGTAGATATTGTAGCTTTGTAAAATGCTCTGACTGCACTCAGGGAGTTTACTCTTGACAGGACTTCAAGAAACATGTCAGCATGCAGGGACAATGAAAATACCTGTTAGAGCTCATTAGCAGGAGTAAAAAAGACAGTATTTGAAACCATACTTACCGAGTCTACAGTTTCCCCTAAATTTAAAATATGAGGCCATCCAACCTGGAAAAATCTCAATGGTTATTCAGTTTATACACAGACACAGAAGTATCAACATTTCCTTAATAAAAGGTCCGAGTCTGTCTATTTCTTTGTTTCCTTAATACATACTTCAACCAAGAGAGACAGAATTAAGATCAAAAAATCTATCTAGTGTAAGCAGAAATCATGTGTACAAAATTAAGCAAGTGCAATCACACATTTACTAGAAAAAAATATTCTTTATTTATTAATTAATTCATAACACAATAAATATTGGGATCACACATTTGAGGGACCCAGCAAAGCTCAGACTTGTTTGCACCATGGTATGGTTTGACAAACAAATCCTCATCAGCTGGCATCCTAAGAAGCCTGACTAGATTTTTTTTGTACATTTTCACATGCAATCAGTAAATTGCAATGTACATCAATTGTTTCAATTTACATTGGTCAGGCTTTTAAAAACAATTCTTAAGCACCATCCCTGGTGAATCCTTCAGGAAAAAAAAGCACAATCACAATATTTGTCATTATTCTGTCTTGCTGTTGATTCTGACATTATTATGCAGGTGGGATTGTATGTTTTGTTTTACTTCAGAGGGCAACAGCATTTTCCACTAAATGAGGAACAGAGCCAGGCTGCTGTTGAAGAGACAGGAACAATTTCATGCAGGCCACTCAGCAATTCTAAAACCAAGACAGTTCTGTTTCTTCTGAAAACCATGACATGCCTTAGTTTCACACTCTATATGCACTGAAGACACATTTCCTTGAGATCTCTCTATTTGCTAAATAATTAATTTGAACTTTATGGTGAATGAAATTAACTCATCTTTCCATTGATTTGTCTGTAGGGACAGACAACTCTGTCTGCTGGATGCATTGGTAGGGCAAAGAAGAGAAGCAGATTTTACATGGTTAAACACCAGTGCTTTCATTTCTGGGAAACAAAAGGAACTGGAAAGAAAAACTTGTATGCATAAAAGTTAGAGTTTTGTCAGAGGTGAGCTGTTTCTCAAAATCTCTACTAGGCTGTATCTCCATATTTTGAAATATCAAGTAAAACATTTTAAGAAACCCTAATTTACTCTGAACCCCTTTTTTGTAAACAGCTGAGGAAAATCTAGCAAAGGTTTTGGCTGCATCATACACATAAGGTCTTTTATTAAAGGAAACAAACTTCTGGATGTGTAGATATGCACCTATTTATATAGATACAAGGTTTTCATCATTTCTTCTAAAGGCAGCTGCAAAATTCAGAAATTCAGGCATTGTTTCAACAACACTTCCAATCCTAATATTTCTTGTCAACTACAAACTTATGGATGACTTCACAGATGTAAAATGGCATCAGCAGATCTCATAGGGAATGCCACTTGGAGTCCAACTGTATCACTTCTTTCTATTTTATGGACCAGAAACATGGACCAAAAAAAAAAAAATCAGGAAATTTAATATTGTCATATCAATGAGAGTGTGATAAATGCTGTTAAATCCTATTTTACAAGGAAGTTTTGATCCCTTTTGTCTAATAGTTTCTCAGACAGGTACAATTCTCATGGTAAAAATTATTCCAGACTCGATATAAACCAACCATTTTTCTGAGTTGCTGCAGCAGTGAAATACCAATCAAACTAAACCAGCAGATATATACATGATCATCAGACTATTCTTCAAAACTGCAACAAGTTTGGAATGAAAATAACAAATTCCACACACAAAACACTGATATCAGTTAACTGCAAAAAGGATATATTTCGTTTCACCTGAAGTTGGTCTCTTCCCATGTTTGCTATTCTGCTGTAAAGGGTGCAAGAAACTGCAGCTGGGATGGAAATTCAGTGCAGACTGGTTTGTGTTTGCCTTTGTCAGGCTACCTCCTTAACAGGGTTCTGCACAAGAAGCTTCACTCTCAGATTTGTTCCTCTCCTGCCACAGATAAGCCAGCACCTCCCCCTTCTGGAGAGCACAAAAATCAGCAGGAATTTGCAGCAGGGTAATGCTTTCCTACTCGGGCCAGTACACAAAAAAAAAAAAAAAAAGAACAGAAAAAGTTGCAGATGATTATTTTATATCTTTGCTCAAGGCAGGACCATTTCTCTTCTGGATCACTGCTTAATGTAGTTCCCTTCAGTAAAGTGTTTTATTAAAGCCAGATAGAAGTCAGTTCAGATATAGTCTCTAGCTCATCAGTAAGAAAGTCTTAAAAACAAACCAAGAAAATATTTCAGTGTCAGCCACATTTCTGCATTCTATAAACCAGAAAATGCTGCATAAGGTGGATTATTAGAGGGTTTTACTTTACTTGTCAGCTTAATATGCACTGTTCAAGCAGTAATTTGTGAGCTGTGTCAATTTAGTTTGGACTGAGCTGAATTAAAAATTTCAGGAGTAGGCAGAGACGCCACCATAAAATTCAACTCTTTCTTTAGCACCTCTGAGATCATTCATTCTCAGTCCTCTCCAGAACACTGTGACCAGGCTGCTACTGATTAATCCATTGTGATTCTGCCAGCAGTAGTACAGCTTCAGGTGATTTTCTATTAAATTCCACTACATATTACATTTTAAAGGAAAAAACCCAAAGATGACTGCTTACCCTTTGCTATGCACTCCAGGAACTTGTTTCCACTAGTGAATACAGAGTCTCAGTGTTTAATATAGGATCAGTAATGAGCAATCCAAGCATGCAGGACAAAGCATCCCACCAAACTTCTATGGGATGCCCTCTCTGATTCCCAGCACCTGAGACTCTTCTGCTGGCCAACGAGGAAACCCAAATCACAACTGTCTCATTTGCAGATGGCCTCAGATGTCACAGGCTTTAGTTATATTTACATATAAAATACTGTGATTATTCTCTAGCTCCCAGCAACAGAAGAGCTGTAGGCTCCTAGAAAGAGATTTGTTGCAGCAGAACTACATTGGTTTTAGAATTGTGATGGTGCAAGGAAAATTCTTCAGCTGTGAGAAAAAGCTCTCTACAGGAGAAAAACAAAGATTCCTGTAACCTGAACCATTAAAGCTGTTCCAACTTTAAGTGCCCCTTTTCTTTACAAATATGTTTTGTGCTTTTTTTCCTTCTTTCTTTCCAGGGATGGTATTTAACCTCAGCAGCCTGTGACTGTTGCATCCAGGCCAGAACGCTTTGTAATGTGCAACTTGGTAACTTCTTCAGCACAGGTGGGGTGAATGCCAACTGTCTTCATCATCTGAGCATAGGTAGCACCACACCTAGCAAAAATCAACAACAACAACAACAAGTGACTCACAGAGTCAAATGCTATTCACCTGAAGCAGCTAAAACATCAAAATAATTCTGCTCTTGTCCATTTGATCAGGTAGAGGAGTTGCATTTGTTCTTCAGACAACGCTGTCTATTATTTCTCAGGCACTTACACAACACGTAGACGCCCAGCTTCCCAACTCTGAGGTAGGAAAGAATTGTCATAAGAGTTGAGACAGAGAGAATTAAGCAATTTACCCTAAGTCACAACTGAGCCTGTGGCAAAAACATATGACAAAACTGCAACCTTCAGCTTTTCTTGTACATACATGTGTGTTTCACTAACTCCAGATGGAAAAAAATGCACACATACACACAGAGGAAGAAAATCTTAATTAGAACTGTTGGAAAGAATCTGCTAAAGGAAATAATACCAGAATATTCTTCCATGAACTTAAAGTCTCTGCTGCTTACATGGAACATATCGATGTTATAAGCAAGGGGAAAAAAAGCCTTTTATTTAAAAAAACATATCAAGCAAACAAAACCCACCAAAACCCCCTAGTGCTACAATCCCACTTGCTTAATTCCCTTACTTGCCCAGTAACATTCTTAAGACTTGATGACTTTCTTTTGAACTGCTATTCCTGGCAGGCCATGCTGTAAGAATAGCTGAAATGGCTCTAAATTTAAGGATTGTTTCAAGCTCTCTATGGAATAATGTTATCTCCCCTCTACAAAACACAGGAAAGGAAAGGAAGCTATAGATGCCTTCTGGTGTCTCCACTTACATCTAAAAAAGCACTGACAAGCACAAGATCTTTGCTGACTACAGATGTTACTGGAGTCCTGGGTGGGGAGGGAAGATGAAAAATCATCCTTCAGAGAAGCTGAAGAAGTATTTGACAAAGGAGAAGAACAGCTTTTACAGTGGGGTTTCTACATTGAAAGCTCGGGATTTGTGAAATGCAATAGAAACCCATACAGGAATCTGACCTGCTGAAAACCTCTTACTGTGGCTAAAGTTTTCATTTCCCTCAAGCAAGGCAGAAAAGCACTCCAGTTTCATGTGCTTCCTTTTCAATGGTTATTTTGGATAAAACTTCAAAACAATGACATCCTAAAAAATGCAGTTCTAGGATCTATACCACTGGCAATTAATGGACTACAAACACATGTTGAAAATGTGTACTGAGGGTACACTGCAATCAGTGATTTCCAAGATATTCCTCACATGACCCTTGTGGTCCTGCCTTCTTAATCCTTTCTGCTTTTCATTTATAATAGTCACTCACAACTGCAGGACTAAAACTGCAGTAAAATGGTGATCAAATTTAGGAAAATGAACTAACACCACAAGTGGCTATGATTTATGATGTTCCAGACTATTTTCTTTGAAGAGGAAATCAAAAATTATAATTTTTTAATGTAAATATAGGAATCAACATTTCTGAAGATGTGAATCAGCAATAAGAAAGGGAAAGGAAAAACCAAATAAGAAATAATTGTAGCACAGGAAAAGCAAAGCAAGACTTTTCCATTAAATCAGAGAGGGCTGAGAATCACTGCTTACTCCTTCAAATGGAGGACTTCTATATCAATATTTGAGCAAAATCTTAAACAAGATCAGATCACAAAGGATGTTTTTTATTGCAATTATCAGATCGCTTCAAACAAAAGTATCTTTCCTCTCTCATCATCCCAGAGAAATTTCTTTTTTACTATACTATATTTAGCTTATACCCCAGCAACATAAGAATTCATGCAAAACTTGCTGAACTTTTAAGAAGCCATGGCTGTGCAAATTTAAAGATGAGATTAGGAAAGGAAATGCTTGGCAGGTGTAAAGAAAGGTTTTTCTGAAAAGCACAAATATATGTTTAAAGAAGTAACTTGGAAAACTGTATGGTGATTTCCTATCCTGTGCACATAATGCAGAAGAAGCTACACTGAAGAAACTAACATTAGTTAAGTTAATGTTTAATTCCGTTTTTTGCTTTAACTCTATCAAATCAATATTTTCCTCAGTTGTTCTCTAACTATATCCAGTATTACAATAACTAAATCCAGTACATCTTAATGAAGAACTGCAGTATTTTTTGTGAAAATATGTGCAATACTCCATAAAAGTAACAAAAAGCATGCATTCTTTATAGTGTTGCCAAAACTAGGCAGCTATCTTTTATAATCTTACAATAACTTAAGAAGCAGGCTTTAGAAGCTAGAGACATTCTTTTGTACTTACTTGATTCCAAGAGCAAATCCTTGAATAACTTCGCCTGCATTTGGGCCAATGAAATGAAGGCCAAGTATTCGTTGCTCCCTCTCTCGTAAGCACACCATCTGAAAACAATACATCACAAAAAGATCTTTTCTTAGAACACTTAAAGATAAGGCATGAAGATGAATTAAATGAAACTGGAATGCCCCAAGATCCTAGTTCAGCTGTTTATTTCCAGTGTGCCAAAAACTTATGCACTTGTTTAAGTCTTACTGACTTCAATAGCTCTTACTCTCATTGTCCTTAAGCACTTTCCTGAATTGAAGCTTTATTAGTGCATTTCTTTCAGACTTGAGGGAGCCACTAACAACAATAATTTCTGGTATTGAATACTTTGCTGTTTGCCATTTGTATGAAATCCTCAAAGTAGTCTGGTGACCAGACCAGTGCTCCTTTCCACTGAGTGGCCACCTCAGCACTTCTCCAAGCCTGTGCAGTTGCTTTCATCAGTATTTTCACAGAAGATCCCTACCATTATCAGCTGTATTTTCACAGATGACCACTAACAGTTCCAGGATATTTTGTACCTTTGTGACTCAATCAGTAAACACTTACAGCAGCATGTTTGGTGAGATACATTTACCACAAGGGGCACATAACCTAAAAAGGAGTCGAGCCTCAGAAGCAGCCAAAGATGAAGGTTAATAAGTATCTAGGAGAGCCTGAGTCATTGCACACTTAACTTTTATTAGAGAACTTAATGAAAATGTTTCAGTTCCTGTAAGGACACCATCTTTATAATTATGAAAAGAAAGTCAGTCTCTCCCTGCATCCTTCCATCAGGCATTAAATTATCACTAATCTACCAAGTTCTGCTATTCAGTAAAAGCTTAAATTCTTTCATCAGGAATGCCAGGAACAGCAGCAATCCTGATGTGGGACTTGAAATATTAAGGCATTTTAAAGGAAAAATTCTTGAAATAGAGTTTGAAAGACTCAAGTTAAATGTTTGTTTATATGTTTTAAGAGTTTAGTAAGGACTATATTAAACATCATCCAACAACTATTATCCTGTTACTACTACCCTTAAATATTTACTCTAATTGACATAATTCAAAGGGAATACATAAAATTGAATATCATCACCTTTGGTACTTGGGACACTTAAGGCAAGCACTTACATAATTCAGAGGTGACAAAATGCAGTGAGAAAAACTGACTGCAATTAGTGACAATGGACATTCCTTACATAACAATATAATATTGGACAATATAATTGATGGACACATTTATGCAAAAAAGACTCTTCCCTGATGATGAGGAGAAAAGGAAGAAAAAGGAAACTATGATCTATTCTATCAACACTACACTTCATCTTAGCTAAGAGTCTCTACTGTAGGCAAGAGCATCAAAAACTTTTCCAACACTGAAGCAACTGGACTGCTGCAGAAAGACCTTTTCAGGTCTGGCACTTTGGTCTAAATCAGGATTTTTTTTTTTCATGAGTAGAGACTGAATAGTTACTGTAATTTTGTAAGCCTTATGCTTAATTTTTGAAGGTATCAGACTTTTGGCAAGAGGTGTCAATATAAATATTTCATGTGACAGTCAAGAACTTTGCTGGGAGAAGCAGAGATTGATCCGAATCTGAAATACTTTTTAGAACCTTAAAAGCAGTTCAAAGATGGTATTGATCAGCAGAATGTCAGTTCTGAGTAATGCCAATATCTGTAAAGCAATTTCAAGATGTCTGTCACCAAGAAAATATCCATCTTGAGATGTTTTTTTGCCAAACAGTGCTCTTTAAAGTTGGCTATACCATATCCCCTTTTAAGTTAAAAGCAAGTTAAAAGCCCATAAAACTCACTTTCATATAGCATTGAGTTGCATCTCTTTCAGCCACTGTGAACTCTAAAGGTTTATAATATGCATGGTATACCTGGTAGGAAAAACAGTAACGTTTTCTGTTAGAGAGTACTATTATAGCAAAACCTGGTATTTATTACTAAAATAACTACTATTGCTACATATTTATACCTTTGTACAAATATTGATTAATTTATGACCTGTTAGTCATTTTAAAGAAAAAATATGGAGAGAGCTTAACACAAATCTTTCTCAGAGAATCATTAGATTAAAAACAAAACTGAAAAAACCTTTACAAATAATGCTACTGAGACTAATGGACCGAATTAAAGGAAAAAACTTAGCATTTTTAAGCTTCTCTCAAAGGTTCAATGCCTTGTTTACTGAAAAAAAATGAAATCCAAGAACCTTTTCATATCTATAATAATGCACCCCACAACAAAATCAAAACTGCAATATTTGCATTCTGAATAGTAAATTCTTATTTTTTCATTAATGATTTTTCCAAGTGAGTAAGAGTAACACAACATAACTTTTCAAGGATAACTTGTAGAAAGTAACATAACCATTATTTAATGATGCTGCACAAGGTAACTTGCTAAAATGGCAGCTACTCTAAAGCTGCCACACCCTATCAGTGATTTTAAGCCCAACAGGCAACAGTTCCCATTGTGACCTGCTGCAATACTACTGAAGTTCTGAGCACTTCTGGAGACACCAACTCCCTAACTGTAAACACAGTATTTTGGGGACTAAAAATTTTACCTAATACAGCAGTAAAAATTCTGCCTTTCCACAGGGCAACTCTGACACCAACTAGAAAATTAAAAATGTTTTCATACCTCAATATTGTCTGATCCATGACGCTGCACAGCTGTTTCTTCTGACAGGCCAACACAACCATACTCCAGGGGAGTGAAGACTGTGGTAGGCACCTGCTTGGGAGGAAGCAGAAGCTGTTACTGCTGAGCCACGTGCAGCAGCTGCCTGGCAGACACTTGTGCATGACTGAGGTGCAGCTCGGGCACACACCTCCACTGTGGCTGCTGTCAAAGCTGCATTCCAGGTGACAAAATGCAATTCTTTACAAGAAAAAAAGGCAAAGATTGTTCTTACTGCAGAAAGCCATAACTCACATTGTCATAGTCCATCAGCTCTGCAGACTGGCCGAAAAGCCGCTGAGCCAGCAGTTTTCCTGCAGCTATTGCTGTGGGTGTTAATTCAGGACGGCCCTAAGGAGAGAGCACAGAGCTTTGTTTGAACTTAAGGAAAAGCAGCATCCAAAGATTCCTCCTGGGACAATGGTCAGAGGAAAGCCAAATCTTTGGAATTCCAGCTTGGTAGCCAGGGCTCCAAATACAAAAAACAATAATAATTTCTGTCCAAACAAGCTTTAAAGTCGGAGTTTACTATCGGTCTTAATGGGGGGAAATGTCACAAATATGTCAAATCTTTATATCTTATCATGGCACCTCTTGAAAAGCAGCACATATTCACATGCTGACTGTTCACTTCACTCCTTCTCTCCAAAGTAAGCCATGAGGAAATTTTTCAAAGTGTCTTTTTAAAGCAAGAAGAGCCTAGTTTAAAGCAACAGTGATAATATAATATCAGACCTTTAAAAAGAAAAATTGTCTGACACATTTTTACAGAACACAGGCACAAAACCCAGCTGTTTGTAGACACTACTACCAACTTCCTTGCTTGGTCCTGGACTGGAAAAGTGGAAAGCTCTTTTGCTAGCACTGTGACCTAAAGGGTGAGCTGGTCCTGCTCTCAGGCTCTGCTGTTAAACAGGGGCTTGAAAGAGATTGCTATTGGCAAATGCAAACTTCCTGCAAGTGAGAAATGGAACGACAGCAGGATATGACCAGGGTGTGCTCCAGTTCAAGCCATGAATCCTGGCACTTTTTATATCCAAACAGGGCTGTAGATGTGCCAGAACCCTAATTCTGAGTGCTGGCACAGCACTGCTGGAGCATCAGAACTGCAGAGCTGGTTTTAAAGAATTTGAAAGTTTTTGAAATTTGAATTAAGATATTTGCAAGGGAATATTTTCAGGCCCAAGGAAGAACAGTCCAAAGAACAGTTAATAAGATTAAACAAAATTCATAGATCTAATTAAAAAACCCCATTGGTTAAGAGTTCATCCAAGACATATCATCAAAATGCTTGCCTGACATGAGAAAAGAGGTGACAAATTCAGAAGGAATGATGTGGAAACATAAGAAAGCCATAACTGAGAAGCACTTTTGTGGCACAACGTGAAATGCTTTATAAAATGTGTGAAGTTTTGATTCACACACGTCCTATTGAGATACAACACTTGCCACAGTCCTGCAAAGCCCTACTTTGAGGCCGTCATTGAATAAACTCTCAAAATCAGTTCTCAGCAGAAAATAAAATAAGGATTCCCCATCACACACATTTAAAGTATTTCACTTTTTGTCATTACCTAAAGTTTTTTAGCATTTACTGGAATCCATTGCTCTTTACCAGCTCATCTTTTTTTGTATGTTGGTAGACAGAATCTGTACATGGTATTAGCTACCATTTTCTTCAGTACACATACCATATTAATTCTCTGCATATTAACAGGCATGTAGGCTTTTATCTGTAGTAATAATCACTTAGAAGTTCAATTGCAAAAAACCAGTCTGAAACATTACATCTAACCTAATAACAGAAATCACAATTCTAATTGTTAATGAAGGCTAATCTATTTTTCCTCCACAGCTCATGACAAAACACTAAGCTGCAAGTCTATCCCTTTTTCCTTCTAACATCCCTCAAGTCACAATTTTTCAAATCAGGCATTTTGACTTTCAAGTCTGTAAATGTAATTTACCAGATGAAATTTGTTTTTTCTTACACACATTTGCCTGAAACATGTCTGCCAATCATTTCTGTAGCAGGAAATATATGTTGTTTTGGCATTCCAGAAATGAATAGAAGATTGGAACGAGAGATAAAATTGTGAAAGCACTGCCATGCATTCCATAAAACCCAACTAATTACTAAAACATCCATGCAGATAAAGCCCAATTCCTCATAAACAATGACTTAAAGACCTTCCTTGGTAAATATTTGAAATGAACATTCACTTTGCAGTCATGTGTAGAACTACTCTGCTGATAATTATGGATACGAATTGTTCGTAAGAATTCTCCAATGCATTATACATTTAACTGAGATGGTCCTAAGAGAGTTCAGAAAGCTTTGAAGTAATGTGTATTTGTTCTAACACAACTCTTTTTGGTCTCATTTCTATTCAAAGCAACATACTGTACATTCCACTTTCTCTACACATCTTTGTTGTAACACCCTTTGAAAAATGACAGATGTAGAGTGGCCTGGCCATAAACCTCCTTCTGAGAAAATGTCTTTATAGTGTGTGCCATGCTTTTCAACAAGAACACTACTGGAGGAAGGATTTTAACACAGAGAGTTTATATCAGCACTGAAAAAAAGAATTCACACTAAAATTCCAGCTTGATTTTCCTGATCCTGATTACAGGAAAATGCTAAAATGCAATTTCACCGGCCAGTTGAAAACAATATTTTGCCACAGCTTGAATAATGTTTTTTGAGGGTACACTAACTGACTCACATCTGGAAGATTTTTTTCCCTTTTTTTTTCCAAATGAAATCTTGGGTAACATTAGGATTCCATTCCATAATGCAACAAGACACCCATGCACACACAGATTCCCATTTGTACCAGCTGGGTAGGACTCCCAAATGAAAACAGTCATTCTGAGCAATCAGGAAACTCAGCTGCCCCCTCACTCACTCCCCTTCCAGCCAGGGCATTGAATTCAAATTAAAAAAGCAGTTCTTGCTATTTGGTAGCAATTCAGTATTTATTCAGTGTGGAGTGGCAAAGGAGGGAGGAGGGCTTGGGAACTACTCACAAAACTTGAGCAAAAGCACTTTATGGTAGCAAAGAAACTCTAACAGGGACAGAGCAGAGCAAAGAGAAATCCTGAGCAGGAACACTGGAGGAAAAAATAATTTTTATAAAGATTCTTGGGATCATTGATGTTCACTCACAGGAAACAAGATTCCCCTTCCTGTGCTCTTTTGGTAGGTCACACCCATAAAGCACCACAGCCAAGCTCTGCAGCTTTGTAGTTCTTAGCAGGATACCCTTGATTCTCATGTGTTAATTTGAGACATGCACCAACACAGAAATTTCTTTCAGTGCTGGTTCCCATGCCAATGAAATTTTTTATCTAAATTAATTCTGCTTTAAAAAAACCCCAAAATACTAAACTAATTTAAGTATTCAAATAAAATAAACTCCATTGCTTAGCAAGTGGAATTCCACAGGTCACATGCTGGAGTCAGGTAAGACAGTGGCAGTATTTCTTTTTATCTCTAAACACTTGAAATGCATGAGTACTGTATGATGATCTCTTTAATTCCCTGCATTGAGCCAATATACAGATAAAAGCTTAAGGGAGTATTCTACAGAGCACTGATGTAGCTTTTTCATTTTTTCCCCCAGCTGTACACAGCATACAACTGTGCTGCTGTTTTTAACACTTAGACTTAGAAGTGTTTATTGAACCACTCAGGTTCAAAAATCTGCACTAATAAGGACAAAAGCAGGAAAAGGAAATCCAAGTTTTAACAACAAAATGAAAAGAACAAATAAATGAAGACATGATTTTTTAGATCCAGAGAAGGAAAGAGGAGAGCATCCTGCCTCCAACTTTATATTTCTTATCTAAATCCTCAAAGGGCAAAAGACAAAAAGCATCCAAAAGGAAATGACTTGCCCAAAATAACACTGCAGATTGGCAGCAAAATAAGCAACAGATTCTAACCCCTGCCAGCATTGCCTCTAACAACTGCTTCTTGGATGAAATTAAAAATAAAATTCTGGAAAGCAGGAGGCAGCCAAGCCATATATATCAGGGATAAGCAGGTGTAGGAGGCTTTTGTGAGCAGAAAGTGGATTTTAGGAAGTATCTGAGAGCAAGAAGTGACAAATACAGAGGGAATCTGTGAAATGAGAAGAAAGGAGAGGAACTCTACAAATCCCAAAGCTCTGAGTGACTGGACAGGACAACCGGACAGAGAAGTTGTGTAGAGTAAGGAGGGAAAGTAAAAAAGGAGAAATATCTGAGAAGAGTTTTAACGCAATTTAAAAGGAAATGGCAAGTCCACATGAAGATGGAGACAAACAGGAAGAAACACAAGTCTACACAGAGGGAAGAGGTCAGGAGTGGTCAGCAGATTTATGAGATTTAAGTGTCTCTGGCAGCTCCAGGGTCCAGTCAGAAATTTGCAGGGCTATTCCCAAGACATCATTTAATCCATTACAATCTCTTCAGAGACTAAAAGCACCTGTAAGGTTTATACATTTGAGAGATCTTTAAAATATTTTAAACACAGCAGAATGAGAAATTTTCTAAACTTCTCTAAAATGATACTACATATATTGTTTGGATATTGCTACAGTATTTAGCTTTACCAGACTTGTAAGGCAGATGCCTGCACTATATGAAAAATTATCTTGATGGAAAGGCCTCAATTCCAGTAACAGGTGAGAGAACTCTGTATCTTGTAATGCCCAGCATTGCTCTGTGTTCTACATATTGCCCAAATTTTCCAGGCACAGCAGGCAGGTGATGACAACATGCTCCTGTAACTCTACAGTTCAGAATCCAGACAAGCATTTTTAATGAAATCAACAAATGTGAGGATGCCCAAGTTACAGCAGACAACTTGAGCTCTTATGTAAAATGAAAATTGGCAGATTGAAAGTATTTAAGTGCACATTTATCATGACAAGACATTCTTGTCATATATGACTATAGATTATCAATAGCACTAGAATAAGACCACAGAATCTGGTTTTACCTATCTAACAAGTAAATTATTTTGCTTAGGTTATGATGTACCCTTCTTAAAAAAAACAAAAACCAAACCAAACAACAAAAAACCCAAACAAAACGCCATACCCCACATGTTTATTTAGCATAATCATTCACAAATCATGAAGAAAAGTCAAATGCATTTACTACTTTCAGTAATTACTTTTTCTTACTCTAGAGGAAAGTACTTCATTAGCAGCATTTTTGCATCAGGGAGCTGATAAGCTGTTTTGTGATTAGTCTCAATTAACACCCAAAATACCCCAAATGCAGTCACAGAGCTTGTCATGGTCATTCCCAGTAAATGTACTTAGCTACAGAAGAATTGCTTTCACTCAGCATTCACAGGCAGTATGAAGTCATATGTCAAAAGTGATACAAACATTATTAGAAAGATAATAGGAGTGATAAAGACATCATTATTAGCCTGTGACCAACGATGCACTCCCTGATAAACATCAGCAATAATCTCTCATGCTGAGATACTTCACAAGATCCCTGGGAAGGGAATTACTGACCCAGGTGGCTGGCATAAACACTCCAGCCCTGCCAAGTGAAAAAGTGGGAAACACTGAGATATACACTAGAGCATGACTACATCTGGGGACTAGTTATTAGTCAGGAACAAAGTTGGCTTCCTGTTATTGTAAAATAGTTTATGTAGACTCAGTACCTCTGTTATGTCTCCAACTGCATAAATGTGAGGAACAGAAGTAGCTTCACGGGCATCAACAATAATCTTTCCAGTTTCAGAGTTAATTTTCACTCCAACTGTCTCCAAATTGAGAGTTTTGGTGTCAGGGGCTCGGCCTTAAGGAAAAAAAAAAAATTAAAGTAAAAGCAATTGGAAAACTTCAGCAGTGTTATTCTAAAAAGCTGGCATCCTCCACTGTGGATCTCCAAGAACTTTGTTCTATTTGATAGTCCAAGCAGAAATATGAGAAAATTTATACTGAGAAAGCTGCAGGGGTGGAAAACATGGCTATGACATTCTGTGGGAAAGGATCTCAATCACTATTGCCTTTGCTCAGACATCAGAGGGTTATCCTTTGAAATATGGAAAACCACACCCACTGGGAAAAGTACAAAAACCACACGATTTCATATTTATTGAAGATTCTAAATTTGGTTTTCTAATATAACACAAATATACATACAAAAATGAAACAACTTTTACACTGAAAATTTCCAATAAACATTAACTGAATGGTGCCCAGTCCCAACAATGTGTTGTGTGTACTTCTGAATAAAAAATATTAATAATGCTGTTAAACATTCCTGAAGTCCTTGTTTCTTGTAATCTGAATACACTTATCTTAAAACACTTTTAGTACCCTCACCTTAGATGAAAAATTTTATCAACTTTGCTCTCAAAACCTAAGTGCTGATTTAGTTATCTCAAACTGTATTTGAGCTATTTCTGTAGAGTTTAGAAACATTTTAAATGTATTTAAAAACAAATGAGGCAAATCCAACCAAGCCCAGATCTTATTACAGCTTCCTATTCCAATGATATCAAATTATCTCATATTTTAAAAATATATTTTTGTAGTGTTTTCTGCATAGTTACCCCTTGATCACTGAAGTCTAAACAGCATTACACTGAGCTTCGTATAGAGTATCTAAGGAAGCAATTCCTGACCCAGAAATTGGAATCTTAAATCCCATCCAACTTGTTTGAAAGTTAATAAGCACAGTGAAATTACATGGCAGTAAAAAAAATTTTAAGGATCACACAGAAAAAAAACCAAACTGAATAGATCCAAATGAAGGAATTTTTTTAACATTGTGTCTGTTTTAGAGGCTTTAATGAACATGGATATATCTACACATTCAAGTCTCCTTTGTGTGAGTCACAATTTGCATTCAATTTAATACAGAGCTATGGCAAAGCAAAACAAAAGAGGAAATGTGTTTTCATTACAAAAACAAGCTCTTTGATGTTAATGTAGGAAATTATTAAACAAAAGGAAAACCTGGCTTGTTAATACAGACCTAATTATATGTAAACATATGATTCAGTGCTTTATACATCTTCCATATAGCCAGGCCCTCAAACAATGTCACATCTGAATGCCTCTGTAAAGACTTCTGTGTATTAATTTCATCTGGTGAAACCAACACTTCCTCTGGGAGCACTGACTGAAGCTGTCGGCACTTGGCTATCTGTCTGTCTTCCCTTCTGTGGTCCCCATGGGATGTTGATCTGCTGTTCCTTCTCTGCCCCCTGCTCCCCAGTCCTGATGCTATCAGGCAACAAAAATAATAAACCTCCAGGACCTTATCTTGGCTCGGATGTGAAACAACTTCCTACCGTTGTATTTCTTTGGGTATTGAGAGTAAAACCTGGGTATTCTGCAAATGGACAACTAATGGGGTTTTCTAGTTTCCTCTTTTTCCTGCCAGGCAGAGCCGAGAGAAAACTTAGCACGCAATGGCAGGCACTGAAAGAGGAAAAAAAGAAAACCCCTCAATAGAGTCATTTAAAGACCTGTGGCAACAACAGCTGAGTTTATCAAACCTGCAGGATAACACTTAACCTTTCCATTGCAGCCAATTTTAACATATGTACAGCTTGGTATTAATAGCTAAGAGTTACAAAAAAATGAGCTACTTCTCACAGCAAAGTTTCTCTCTCAATTTTACTGCCTAACTATTATTTTTGAAGGCAAAACCAAAATTTTTAAACACTGAACTGAAGCTTTACTGGCCTTTAGCTCTATGCAGGTTCATCCCCATAAACAAGAATTATACTTACTGATCTTGCTTCATCTCAAATTCAGTAGCTTAGGCTCATGATTATACAATGTGTCTTGGTAGGTTGTAGTGCCAAATTCAGGGAATTTTGATGTTTACCAACATTCACTTACTATTATAAAATCAGTTCTCACCATTTCTCAGAAGGACTTTCATTTTATACCCATAACTCCTGATTTTTTCATATTTTCAACTTCAAGAAAGCATGACTTCACAGCTTACTTCTAAGATTCTAAATCCTATCAGGCACACAAACCACTCTTTGCCTAAAATCAGCACATGTGCTTTTAGTTTGAAGATGTCCTGAAACTGCCAAAGAACAGGAGTGTACAATTGTATAGGACACAAGATTAGATATAGCTTTCATTCAAAACAGCAAAATATGCCAGACATCTAGAAGAAAGGTGTAACTCAAATCTGACCCTTAAAAAGGTTACCTGCCTCTTGCACTTCTAACAGCACACCACAATCTCATCTTTCATAGACCCATACACTTACACAGCTGTGAAAACCACACAGAGCCCTGCTTTCAGTGCCAGCCCCCTTTTGCTTTTAACTTTAAAAGCAAAAGCAGCTTTTTGATCTGTTTTTGTAAAACCTAACAACACAGCTTCCTAAGGGGGCTGCCAGCCAGGGGGCTCTACTGCAGAGAGTGACAGGGGAGTGGCTGAAGTCACATCACAGACATGGCCAGGCTGGCTGTGGTGTGCTGTGGCATTTGTGTCCCATCACCTGCCCGGGGCTCCTGGTAATTATCCCTGACCACAGAACATGGGGAACGAGTATCAGACTGTGACCTTCAGGTGCAGGACCTTCAACAGTGGAGACTGAAACAGCTGAACTCAGAATCCAGAGGCACAGCCACAGTCAGGTGAGTAGCAGTGGTAAATGAGTGACAGCATACTCTTATACCCAGTAAGATTTCCCAGGGTGATAAAGGTGCAGCTGACAGCAGAATTTTATAATGGGTCTTCCAGAGTTTCTTAACCACAGAAGTTAGAATGCCTGTTTGCCTCTCAACATCTGAAAAATCCAAACTAGAGCCAACTACACATTTTATTGTAGATGGCCACTGTGAGGATACTGCTGGGTGACAGGAGAGTTTTTCTGGAATAAAACTCAAGCCAAATAATCTTCTCCACTTCTTCCCTATATATTGGCACATCACCTTATAACTTTATCCAATCTGACCTCAGTCTGACCTTAATCAAAATCTTGTCTGTGTTCCCAGTCTAAGTACTCTCTTCATTCTGAGTGCCTGACACATTCCCCAAATGAGTTTCAATACCACTGCCCTTTCCTCCTTCAAATGTCTCCTAAAACCCACAAGATGTTCACTAAAACATAACCAGCTGATAATGACTAATAAAAACCACTTCAGTGTAACTACTGTTCAGATTACAGAAAATACAGACTAGAGCAAGATTAAATAAGGTTAAAAAAAGTTCAGAACCTTTATCACATTGATACCAGTGTGCACCATTTCTACAAGGATGCTTTTGAACATCCTTTACTGATAAACCTCCAGTGTGGCTGCCACAATTTGAAAAAAAATCTGGCCCTTAGTCAATACTGGGGCAGTAATTGCTTCTCTGGCAAGGCTGCTCACTGTACTCTCCTGCAGCACCAACACTTTTTACACAGAGGGGTCCCCTCAGCAGAAAGCTTGTGCTGCAATGAGCAAAAACCTGCCTGTGGCCATCCAGTGCACACCTGGAGTTCACAACAAAAGCAACTCCAAGTGACATGTAATCAAATTAAAAACTTACAGCATGGGACAGACTTCTAAAATTCTACTCTTCCTGTTCTTAATGTCCTGTAAAAAGGAAAAAGGGCTGGAAACATTTTCTGAGAAGAAAGTTACAGTTTCCTCTTAGATTATTTCTCCCACACAAAGCTTGCTTTAAGCAAAGGTTTGGTTTCAAAGGATGGCTCTGCAGTCTCAAAAATGAGCACTCAACCACCACTCCCAAGAGAGGCAGGTCATTGGCTTCAATCTCCTCAGCATTTAGATTGAACAGAATCTGTTTTCTGCATGCAGTAATTATACTGTTTTCAAAAAATTACTTTGGAGTAATTTTCTGCCATTTTAAAATCTGTTTCTACCATCATTGAAGTAAAGGTAAGCATTACCTATCAACTCAAAGAGCACCTTAGTGCTGAAATAGTTCTCAAGCCAACCTTCTTCACATGTAGATTTAGAGGCATAACCTAGCACGTGAACAAGTTATTTTTTTGAACAAGTAGTTACAGGCTGGTATAATAAGTGGCATAAAATAAAAGTTACACTGAAAGTTTATGGGTTGGTTACACAAAGGGAAAAGCACATTAAAAATGTGCTGCTGAATAAAGTCTGACTGAATGCCCTTAAAATTAGATATTGGAAAAAACCTAAAAGCACTGGCTTATATAATGGGAATGACAATTTTCATTAGGATTGCAGAAACCATATCTAATCAAGAGAATAATGAATTTAAGTTAGTAAGAGAGACAGACTTGGGAAGCTCAGAACAAAGCCCCAAAGCTTCAGCAAACCACAGCACATCAGCACTAGGAGTTGTCTGAGATCAACCAAGGTGCTTTATTTTTCACTGAATAGTTCAAAGATTAAAAACTCAATGGCAAAATTGTGTTTGCCAAGATAAATCTGAATCCCATTCCCTTTTCTACAGGGGCTGGCAGAGATGTGCTCATAGGAGATCACAGGAAAATTTTACTTTATGGGACTTTTCACAGAAAATCTCCTAACAAAGTTTCTGTTTCCCTTGTTAACCCAAACTGGTTTGGTTGTAAGCCTTGAAGAACACTATTACAAAAAATGTTATGTACTTAACCATTTGTCCATACCAAACAGCAAGGATTCTGTTCAAAACCTCAAAATCTTATCATTTCAGGAGAATTCTCTAGAAGCCAAAGACAGCACTAGTAAGACAGAAAGACATACAGAGCTGAACTGGAAAAATCAAATAAACATCAAGAACAAGCTCTTGCACTGAGAAGGAATATAACAGTATGTAGTCCCTCAGCAAGGTATGATAGGTCCATGAGTTACCTACAAAGCTTGACTGAAGACTGAAACTTTTAAATTAAATTAAAACGTGTCAAAATGAGATTTCTTTTTCTCCCCTCAAATATTTTGACTAGTTCAAAAAAAGCTGCTAGAAAAACAAAGGGAGCATTGTGCCTGCTTTTACTGGCTTATCCATACAAGCAGAAAATCACACATTCCAAAAGCAAAACAAAACTGATCAGACAAACACAACCTAATTTTCTTTTCGAAAGGTTGACATTAAGAGATAGTGGGACATAGTTTAATAAGCTACAGTACTATCAGTAACTATTTTAAACATTATTAATAAAAACTTCTACTAAAATTCCATTATGCACTGGCAAAAATGATGGAAATATGTACTATAATTTAGGCTACAATTAGTTAACAGTAGCAGCTGCTTTTTAACCAACTCTACAAGCTGACTTGCTTCAATCAGTATTCTAACTGGCACATCTGCAGACAGGAAATCCTCAACACCACTGAGTTTCCCAGCCTATTATCTGAGACACCTGGTGTGGGTGTGTTGATACAGAGCAAAACAATGAATCATATGGACTGCACACCAATTAACCAGCTTTAACTGTTAATGTGTTTAATCCTTAAGGGTGGAGTGCCAATCTGAACACTAAAAAAAGGCAACACAAAATCCTCACACTTTTCATTTTGCTGTTTCTAAATATGGATTGTAACTCAAATCTATGACAAAAATTATAACACATGTAACTCCTCTGTATTGAAATAATGAGCAGACTCATGTTACAACTGAATTGCAACAGTCTATCATGCAAGCTTATTCCATTATAATTAACAGTAAACCAAGATTTTTTTCTTATTTTTCAACTTAAAAGCTCTTTTTTCCATCTTAGACAAAAGTCAACAAACTGACTTGACATTTGACATGTGTGTCTCCAACTCAGTGTACTTTTCATAGAACCACAGAACGGGTTGGGTTTTTTACCAGAAAGCTTAAGAAAAATCAAATACAGCACTTAGAAACCCACTTTTTGGAAACATTTTCATCTCACCTCATGAATATTATTCTACAGTTTTCAGAATTCTTATGTGTCCAGATAACATGAGCTTTATTTTGCTCTCAGCAAGCACTAGTCTGTTTGATTGGTTCTGATGAGAATAATCCATTATTACAGGCTGTTTCCACAATTTGTAGAGCCCAAGGCACTTCTCAGAGAGTAGTAGTTACAGTAAGGAAAAGAAAACATTTGTCACAATGCACAACCTGCTCTCTGTTTGGGGTATTAGGAAGATATAAAGCTGACTTAACCAGGGAAATGGAACAACTGGATAGTAGATTAAATCCACTGGGCAAAACACGAAATGCTATAAATGACCTGTTTCTGATCCTGTAATGGATCTATTCTACAACCACAAGAATTTAAATTTATGTTATAAACAAATGAAAGAGTAATGCATTCCCACTACTCTAAAACAGAAATGCCAGATAAAAAGAATATAAAGTAGTCAAGGGGATTGCTAAAGCTGCTAGTAAAACTGATTACTTGTCTGCATCCACACAGATTTCTTGGGCAGTACGTTTAAGCCTATTTACTTTGTTTGCCAGATATCATCTGCCTGCCAAATACCACTACTACATTTAACCATGCATTATTGGTCTAGAATTCCAGATATTCACAAAGCTTTATAAGCACAAAAGACAAGAGTCTCCTACTCTGGTGGGCTTACAGCCCATCTGAACCAATACAGAAACTGAGGACAGACCGGTAACAGCGACAAATGAGCAGCTCAGGGAGGCAACACTCAAGGAGTATTTTCATTCCTGTGGGCAGGAGCCTTGTACATAATTTAGTATGTTAGTCATTGAAGGAAGCAGCATTTGTCTCAAAGGAGGAAACCCCCAGATTTGATTCCCATTTCTGGTGATTATGCTCACAGACATTTATCACAGCATTCTTTTAAAGCAATTTACCCTTAGTCGTTGTATGTCAGTTCCAAGGGGTCTGAGATTTGTGAAAGTCCCTAACCAGATTTCAAAAAGCTATACAGTTTCAAGGTTCCCTGCAAGAGCTTGGGTTTTTAGAGCCAGTTACTTCTTTTTCTCTGAATTGGATGACAGCTGCAGTAACAAACTTAAGCAGCACAGTTTAGAAAAATCCTAGAAGGATAAATATGCACTTACAGTGAATAGCTTCATGAATCAATCAAGAGTATGGACTTAGAGAACACTACCTGCAAAGCAGAGCTTGCTGGAACTCATGTTCTTACTCTAGTAAAAGTGAGAAAGACTAGATGGTCTCCCATTTATTGCAGCTCATGCAAAAATAGTTACCACAGACTTCTTCCAGTCACTGTAACTTTAATGTGTTTTTAGACTGTAAATGAACAAGTCAGGCATGCAAGAAAAGAATTAAACAATAATCAATGTTTAAGTCACTAAACATTTAATGGGGGGGTTGTTTGACCCCATGATGAAGTGACTTCACTTTCAGAATGGAAAGCATTGCAAAGAAACGTTAAGATAATCATATTTACCTACTGCCCACATCACGGTGTTGAAAGAGTCGTTTTCTTCTGTGTCCAGGTCAGCATTTTTCCAAGTGACTTGCAATCTGTCGCTCTCCAGTTTTTCAACTTTAGTTGGGAAGCATCTCTTTAAAAATTTTGTGCCATAAGATTCCATGTGCTCAGTTACTAAAGAAGCCATTTGCTGTTGAGTAGTGAAACAAATTTGTTTTTTCTTAGATATGTGACCTTTTCAATGTAAACCCCTCCTTCAGCTGGGTTCAGGAAACCCCAGTAAATACTTTGTGCATTTCAAACATTCTTTATCACTTAGTTACTATGCATTGCTAACACATAACAACTTAGGGAGCCACTATGACCTGAAACTTCATTCCAAGAGGCACCTACACCTGCATACTCAAATTATTTTCAAAAAATAGAACAGTAAATTAATAAAATAGTTGCTTTTAAAGCATTTGTTGTTTACATAATCTAGAGCATGTTCAATTTACCATTACCATAATCACAATTTTCTAGTAGTTTGATGAAAATTAAATACTTTCATAAAACAATGGGAGAAAGATATTTCCTTTTGCCATAACACCTGACATTTCTCTGCAATGACTGTGAATCCCTAAGGTTTCATGGGAAGTTCTAATACAAAACCAAAAAAACCAAACCACTTTTGTCCTAAGAGCCTGTTTGAAATAATGCCACACCAAAATGAAGCAGTAAAATGTGGTATCAACAGGTTTATCCAAAGATATCAGTGCTCTTGACTAGCAGGAACTCAGGTTGCACCTTGCCAGAGTATGTTTATTACTTAAAGGATATTATTACAAAACCACTCACATAGAACAACTCCACACAAGCTCTCTCAGCTTACAAAACTTTATTTTCAAAGTTGATATTAACTAATATGAAGGCAACAGCAGGGTTATGTCTCTTCAGAAACACGAGAGCTCATTAATCAGTTTCCATCAACCTCAATGTGGCTGCAGACTGGACATAATTATTTTATCTCCATTAATACTTTATTAACTTTGGTGTGGCCATTGTGCTCCTCCTGCCTACAGAGGATCAAGTTCTCCTACTGTAAGTGTCTGACCAAGTGCTACACACACACTATTCCCTGCTTGCTCAGACCTCATGCTGTTACAGGTGTGGATTTCTTCAGTGAGGAGTGTAAATCCCAAGAATTATTCTTACACAATGTTTTGCAAACTCATGGTACTACTTTCAAGGCATACAAGCCACTAGTTTGAAGGAAGGCACTCCAGATGGGAGAGGGTGACGTACAACCAGGATCTGTCACTAGTGTCACTAGCATGGGTGGTGTTTGTCACTGCCACTTAAGCAACAATACTCCCAACTCAAAATCTGTGCACATATTAGGAAATGTTTGGAGATGCAAACAACATTTTTTCTTTAGGAGATAAAAACAATAAAATCTATCTTTTAATTTATTTGCTAGATAAGGAGATGTAAGATACTCTGTACTTGCCTGATCAAACCCACGAAGTGGAACACTTCTCATCATGACTGTAGTGTCCAATCCAATGCCTGTCAGAAAACCAGCACACTCAAGGGACACATCTGGTGACACACCAGTTAAGCAAATGTAAACAACAATTTCAATAAACACAATATATGAGTAGTATACAAGTGGGCTTTTCACTTGGAGATACCAAGTTCTCCTCACACAGACATCTTTAGCTTGCCTTTGTACATACAATAAAACTTGGAAGTCTTATAGTTAACATAGTTAACACTGGATTTAAGATCCTGAGAATTTATCCTCAGCTGATCTTAATTTCCATGGTGCTACTGCATAGAAAACTATTACTATTCTCTTATCAACTCAACTACGTGACATGAGCAGAGGAATTCTGAAAACTGAACTTTCATAGGAAAGACAGCTATGCTAGTTATAATCACAGATCATCACAGGCTTTTCAAAGGATACAGCTGGCTCCAACAACCAACCTGTTACAGAAAAAGAAGAAAAGAAGAAAGCAGTGGAATGAGCTTGTGCATATTTTTGCATAACCAGAAAAAAAATATTTTCTGATGTGGATGTCACATTTGCCAACTTCCAGTCAGCTGGGAGCCCTGAGTTAGCCAGGAGTGCTGGGAAATGATGGAGGGTGGCTCAGTCAGCTCTTCCATCAGCTCCCTCAGCACTCTGGGGTGGATCCCCTCCAGAACCTTGGATTTGTGCATGTCCAAGGGCTGTAGCAGGTTTCTAACCAAGTCCTCATGATTTATGGGGGCTTCATTCTGTTCCCTGTCCCCATCTTTCAGCTCAGGGGCTGGGTACCACAGAACAACTGCTCTTACTATTAAGGACTGAGGCAGAGAAGGCATTAAGTAACTCAGCCTTTTCCTTATCCTTATTTCTGTGTTTCTCCCCCCCCACATCCAATAAAGGATGGGGATTCTCCTGAGCCCTCCTTTTGTTGCTACTGTATTTATAGAAACATTTTTATTGCCTCTTACAGCAGTAGCCAGATAAGGTTCTAATTGGGCTTTGGCCCCTCTAATTTTCTCCCTGCACAACCTTATGGCATCCTTGTGGTCCTCCCTCTTCTCCCAGGGGCATAAACACCCTTTTTTTTCCTGAGTTCCAGTTAAAACCCTCTATTCAGCCAGGCCAATCTTCTTCCCTGACAGCTCATCTTTCAGCACATAGGGATGGTCTATCAATTAGATTATGTCTTCCTATCAAGTAGATTACAGTTCCCAATGAAGATTTTATTCATTGCTAAATTTCATTTTGATTTATAACCATCTGCTTTTTAATCACTGTATTTTTTCCAGATGCCAAATATTTGTCCTTCCTGTCTTCAAACATTTGTTTATGATGTTACAGAAAATGGGTTTAATAGATTTACTTAGACTGATATTTACCAAATATATCCATTTTAGTTCTTAAATAAAACCCCAGCTCCCACCTCTCTCAATATTTCACAGCCTTTCAATCAAGAATATAATTGCAATTGTCCATCAACACTTGCAATTTATGAGGTGTCTCAGCTCTCCAGCACAGCAGCTTCCATCTCTGTCCCCAGCTGATCCCTACACAGCAGCAGTTCCTCTCTCCCCACCCCTACATTTGCTGGCTACAAAAGGCAGAATGCTCAGTCCCTGTTCTGCAGGTACAAGCAGCTCCAGACAGGCAGCCATTAACACTCAGCTGCTGGACAGGCTGCACTTGCACTCCTCTGCTGTTTATGTCTTATACAGACTTGTTAAAATCTCACAGTTTGGAGATGGCATCCCACACAGTATTTCCACTGACAACAAAGTATTTTGTTAGGTTTTTGAATGGGCTTGTGGCCTATGCCTTACCCTAAACAAATCTGCAGCAACTCTCAGTTCTAACAGCACTGCTTTTAAACTTCTGAGGAGTGCAGACATGGAGGCTGCAGCTCTGTAAGCCCCAGGGACTGCACAGTCAGTACAACACATGTTTTCTTACAAAAGGCTCCAGATAACATCTCTCTATCTTACAATAAAAACACACAACTTCTGAAGGTGTACAGAGAATAGGTTGAGTAAAAGCGATTAAAATCTGCTAGTCTGGGGTTTATGCTTGGCAAATAATTTAACACAATGGGAAATATTTTTTCCAGCATTAGGGCATCTGATTCATCTGTGAATGAATGATCACACCCTCATTAGCATGCAGCTCCTGGGAAGTGCTGTAAAAAGCCTCATACTGCCCATAAAGAAATATCTACCAGAGATTCACAGGGAAAAGAATGAGAATTTCTGTAATTTGGGCATATGTTTGCTCTTCTTTTTCATTAGATGAAAAATGGATGTCAGCTGGCACTTACTCATAGCATCAGCCCCACATTATTCACACTTTCTTGTACAAAACAGGGGGTTCCTGGGCATTGTCAGTGTCTAAAAGAAAAGTTAGGAAAGCAGAACCTAACCTTGTTCACACCTGTTCAATTTCTTACTCATTCTCAACACATTTCAAGGCATCTCTTCTAATTCACTCTGCCAAAGCCCTTCATCTCAGGAGTGAGTTTCTGCCCCATGTTTGTATATCTATGGGACTTTTAAAGTTGGTTAATGGTTTACTTAAAAAAAAAAAAAAAAAGAAAAAAGAATAACTGCAGGACTGACAGTTCTATAACCTCCAGGCATGTAATTTGTAGCTGAGATATGTACACTTGGAGAGGGAGAAAAGAAAGAATAACTACAACACAGCTCAGACTGAAAACAAAAGGTGTTAAACTGAACCTTGGGAATATTTATAACAGAAACAAATCCGACAGAAACAAACCTTTAACAACTCCCTCCTTCATTTGCTAAGACACAGCCTGATAAAGCACAGAAATGCTACTGTAGCCCCTGCAGGCTTATTTTGACTAAATCTCAGGAATGCAACATATAAACACTAGACTCCCACATTACACTGTTACAACTTGCATTGGCAGCAACTGGACAAGAGCCACATTTTCACAGAAACCTCTTACAAGGATAAATCTTATAATTTGGTTTGGGATTTTGTTGGGGCTTTTTTTGAGGGGGTGGGTATTGCTTTTCTTAAAAACAATTTCCTCACATAAATCATGCCCTCAACATTCTAGAGGTGACTGAAACACTACAAACAACAACAAATTTACTTTCTTTCTAAAACTGTACCAAGAAGCCTCATTTTCCTATTTGAAGTTTAGCTTAATACAGTGCATTTTTTATAGCAGAAAGTCACTGCCATGAATGGCAAGTTTTTTTTTTTTTGCACATGAATGGCAAGTTTTTTTTTTTGCACAAACACTAGCATAATAGCTTGAAGTCTCTTGTTTTTTCTAGAATTGCTCAATAGAGAAGACAAAAATATAGCATTATCTGACTTTCAGGCTAGCAAATCCGCATTTCCTATCACAATTATCTTCATCAGGAAATTGCTCTATGGCAGTGTTGACTTGGAATCTTACTGTGCTGTGTGCTGTAAAAAACAACTGTGGCATTTTAGTATTTCCATGAAAAGCAATGTTCTAATATTTCTGTTAAACAATAGGTTCCAAAGCAAAAGTGATCCAAATGTTTCTTCATATTTTCTTTTGTTATCAGAACTGCCATTACCAGAACTTAGGAGAAAGCAAAATTATATTGGAACTTCTCCCCTAAATGAGGAGCAGGGACTGAGCACCCCCAGGTGAGTTCATGCTGCCCTCTTGTGATTCAGGGTGTAATAGCTACAGCACAACCCAACACGGTGAAAATGTTATTTAATTTGATTTTAGAAGGGAATTTCATAACAGGAGGAGGGGGAAGAGCTACTAATGAAGTTTGGTAGGATGATACTGCTGCATTGAAAAGCACATTTTCAGAAGGAAAACAGAAGAAAAATTCAGAAGGAAAACAGAAGGAAAACAGAAGAAAAATTCACCCTGCTATATAGAGAAGGTAGGAATGCCAGCATCTATTACAGCCATGGTAAGGTAACTTACGTTTTTCCAGGAGATTTCTTTAACCAGAACAGATCATCACTTGTGATTCCATACTCCAATGCACCTGCAACCTATGATCACACAGGTGAATCTACAATGCAAATCCTGTCAGCAATAGAAGTTAATAGCAATTCAGGCTGTGTTGGCTGAAGCACAGACCAAGGGGAATATATCTGGGGCTGCCAACTTCCAACCTGAATTATCCTACAGCTCTAAGCAACACCAACATACTGAATCAGAGCAAATTGTTGTCTATGGAAATGTTTTTCTAAAAAGCCATCCTTTGTACGAAGACAATTTTTTGTGTGACACAAGTACAAAAACCTCTCATGTGTTGCTTTATTTTTACATTCTTTATCTTCCTTCACTGTGTTCTGCATCTCAGCAAAGCACTGAAGTTGTCAAATGGAAGGGTAACTTACATGTGTAGGGTATTTTGGTCTTCCTCCAGTAGCAATGACAATATTATCTGCAGTAACAACAACCTACAAACAAAAATGAAAAATTAAAATCAAGCATTTACAATCCTTTTATCTGTCTTTGGATTTCATCTATGTACAAATGAGTGATCAATGAGAAAACTGGCACTACCATCTGCTATTTATGTGACATAACAATCAGTAATGCATTAAAAAGGGATGGAGATAAACTAATATATGCAGAATTTCGCCCACCCATTCTCTACTAGGTTTTGTTTTAATATTAACCATGCAATTGTTCTTACACTGCACAAGATTCTGATGACTACATGGAAGCAATATTTATGCACAAACAGCACTTTTAAAATCAATTTCCTGTCAGGATAAAACACACAGTAAGTTCTATCTCAGGCCTGGAGTTAAGCTACCACAAAAGGAGACTGTTTCTAGAAAATGCTAGGAACCTACCTCCAAAAACCTGACCTTCGAGCTGATATGAATCAGTAACATTAAACAATTACCCTCAAAGAGGTGTTAAAAAGGCACTTTCAGGCCTTGTTAAATACCCAGCAGTGGCCACCATTCTGTTATGTGACCCAGCTGTGCATTCACGCTAATTGCCTCCCACACACAATTTGGTATTACCGAGTTAATCACCCCTACAAATCACCTGAAGGAGGGAAGCAGCTCAGAGCAACCTAATTCTCGTCTCTCAGAACTCACATTTCTGTAAGCATCAGCATGACTGACCAAATCAAACAAAAATCTTTTGTCTCAGCATTTCCACCCGCAGAAAAAAGCAATAGCAACCAACAGGCCAGGCCAGGGACTCAGCAGGCACCAGTCAAGTTCATAAACAATTTCTCTAAGTGGAAAATGCAAATCTCACTCACTAAAACAATACTGAATACCTCAAACAATTTGCAAAGGACAATCTCACTCCCAAATGACCTGAAACGTTCCAAGTAACCAACACTGCAGAAATCAGCAGAGCAGCTCACCTCTTTACCTGCTTTTGTTACACCACGGACTGTATGTGGATCAGAAAAACTTCCTTTTACGTTGAAATATTTCACCTTCCTGTTTAGAAGAAAACAGCATCAGCAATGTACACTTAACAAGAATGGGTATGAAATACAATCAGCTACCTTTTCTGTATTTAAGTGCTAAAAAGGGTGGCAATCAGGCATAGAGCAGTAAAAGGAAGGAATCTCATTTCATAGGACTGCTTGCAGATCTGTCATAATTTGTCACTTAATTCTTGTGTCACACTAAACTCCTCTATAGAGAAAAATAACTTAATCTTGTAACAATCTCTGAGATCAGATTATTGACCTCTTCAGAAAATACATTTTCTGTTAGCCATAGCATTACTAGTATTATCTGTTGCATTTCTGATACCATGCTTATTTGAGAACACACCAAAATGCCTCAGCAGGAGTAACAAGACTAAAATCTGTTAAATTTTCAATTATAATTCCTCTATAAAGGAACTGCATGCTGGGAAAAAAAAAATCTGCTGCTCTAGTATAGTGTTAGCTATGGGTTTGTATGGCATAGAAATTTTGGGGGACAAGATCAAAAGTATCTTAAGAAACCTTAACTGCTTCATATTAATGCAAAACTTCTCCAGACTAAAGAGAGCATCACTGCACTGCTAGAAAGCTTTTGTGTATGGTCAGTGTCAACCACTATTTCACCAAAAAGGAAAATGGGGGAGGAAGAGACCACTTACACTGACAGGGGCACTTACAGAGCCCAGAAGAAAGGACTTACAGACTCAAAATATTAGCTCTAGATAGAAACTTCAGAGGCAATTCTGCAGTTCTACAAGGGCAAGAGCACCTCCTGGACTGTGGGAAGGAAGACAAACTTCAAAGTCTTATTTACTTTTCTTGTAGTTGTACTCTGTGTCCCCAGTTCAAGGATTTCACATAATTCTGAACACCTTGTGCCATCACAGACCTGTCACAAAACAAGAGACTGAACATGAAGTCATCATATTACAAATTCAGGTTATGCAACACAAAGATATAGGCAAAGATAAATGCTAAAAATGAGGAATGAACCACAGTATTTTTTGTTGTAAAAGCAAATTATCAAGTCCAAATCAACATAATTTCTGCCCTAAAAACTAATTCTGGTTTTTAACAAGTACCAGGCTAAAATTTTACATGCAAAATTCACTTCCCTAAGTGTCCCATAATAAACACCAGCTGGGAAAAAGTTATTGTTATGCATGTGCAGCACACAGGAGTGGATATAAGCAATAGTCCTTACCAGCTATGATGAACAGGTTGGGATATATTCCAGCCATAGTGTTGGGCATCTTTAAGGGCACTCCCTAAAAGGGCTGCTTGATGCATGAGCTTTTTAGGAATGCAGCCAACATTCACACAAGTTCCACCAAGTCCCCATGCAGTTCCTTGGGAAAAAAATAAATAAAGAAAAAAAAGTAAATTACATTAGTGTGACAATGCAGTTGGGTCCATGGGAAGTAAAAAGTTCCCTAACAACATAGTTTACTGTCTCCTACAGATTAGTTTATAACTTTCTTTGTGCTCATTTGTTTGATAACAAATAAAAACATCTCTGTAAATTTTTCTTCTAAAATTCAAACCATCTAAAGATTTTTTTCTCAGAGCTCAGAAGATTCTGTAACTAAACATTCATGTTTGCAGATCTCATTTTGTGCATTGTGTAGAAGGAGCCTCAGCATGACACAATTAGTAATTTTTAGAAATTGTAAATAACATTTTGACAGAGGGAATATTCTCACTTATTTAAGTCCAAAGTCCACTATGAATGGTAGCATCAAGCACTGCTAACAACCTTTATGTGCAGGGGAGCAGGCACAGCTGGTTCATCTTGGAGAGAACAAGCCATGGCACAAGCTGGGTTTAAGGATTTTACTCCAAGCAAAACAGGCAGTGTGGCTTTGGACACTGCTCTCTGAAGTAACCTGCTCACCTGAGCAGCTGAATTATATGCATGTCCAATTATTACCCTGTTATTTCTCTTCCATACCTTGTGGGGAAGGTTCAACATAATCCAGAACAGCCACTTTTCTTCCAAACTGAGCAGCTGTAAACAAAGAAGCAAGGTAAGGTATATAGAGGAAGGAGAAATACACAAACATAAACATTTTTAGTAGCACAGACACAGATAAAATACAGGAGATGACAGCTGGTGATTTTTTTCTGTATAACTCAAGGTACCAGACCAGTGACCCAACCTGCCTACATAGTCAGCAAATTTTCTGGAAGATGCTTAATGACCTAGACTGGGGCCTCCAGCTTCCAGTGACCCTAAAAATGCAATCTGACCTCAAATGAGATGTTTAAGAACACTGTGGGTTGTTGAACATGCTAACCTGAGATACAAAAGGGGCAAGGTTCTCTACAGCAGTTAGGTCTTGGAAACAGTCTGAAGGTATTGTTGTTTTAACACATAAATGAGAATGGTATTAAAAAAAAAATACAGTATTTATGGAGTTACTCTGAATACTTTTATAACAGTGAAATTAAAGCTTATTAGTTTTTCCCGTGACAAAAGAATAAAAAATTTTTTAAAAGTTAAGAGGAAAGCCAAAAAAGATCACACCATCTGAGGGTGTGAATCAATTTGCAGATTAACCATATGGAGCTAAGTTAATAATTAATGTACAGGTACTGAGTGTACTATGCTTCTTAAAAAGCTTTAAGATTATCAGTAACACTTCCCATAGTTTCCTTACACCCCACTGAAGTTAAACCAGAACTTCTGTTAGTTATTTACACATACAAACCTTCTTTTGCACAAGCAAGGCCTCCAGACCCTCCACCAATGACCAGAAGATCATACTCATTCTTTCCTGTGAAGAGGACGTGAAAAAAAGAAGGAATAGAAACAGATCAGGAAGATGGGAGAGGTATGTAAGGACAGTATCAGAGTACAGCTATTTTTACAATTTATTATTGCTGATTTGGGTTTTCCTCACTTCACTCAAGCGCTGTTTGTTCATTTGTTTGTTCATTAAGCTATCTACTCTGGTTTTCTGAATGAAATACAGAAAATAAAGCACTTCAAACAAAGTGAGAAAACAGATTAAATTTTCACACAACGTCCCAAGAGGCTCATAATTAATGCAACTGGGATCCAGTACTGGTCTCTGTCTGGGAATTACAGCAGCGAGTTTTACGCAGATATTTTTCTGCGGGGTCGCCTTATCGGACTCAAAGCTTTACATGCCGTGTGTGCCCTGCCGGGGCGTGGGACGCGGTCAGAGGGAAGCGGGCCCCGCTGCCGCCCCGGCCTCGGCACAGACCGGCCCCGGCAGAGACCGGCCTCGGAGCAAAGCAGCCCCGGCTCCCGGCGCGGTGTGAGGCGGCGGGAGCAGCCGCAGGTGAGCGATGATTCCTTCTAGTGAGGGCACAGGGCCGCTGCTGCTTTCGGAGCCGTCACGGGCGGGGCGGGCACCGAGCCCATGCAGCATCCGAGCCCGGGGATTGCCCTGGAATTGCCGAGCGGGCGGGGAGGGCCGCTACCCTTTGGCGCTGATTCCGCAGGAAAGGTTTGGCTGCCTCTGGGGCAGCCCCAGCCCCACTGCGGAGCCCCCACCCCGCTGCATTTTCCTCTGAACCCGGGGGTCCCTCAGCGCCCAGGGGCCGAGGGACGGGCTCCGCGGGAGCACCGGGCGCGGCGGTGGCTGCCAGAGCCCTCACGGATGGAGGCGGCCGCCGCCCGCCCCGGTCGCCACAGCAGCCGGTCTGTGATCTACGGGTGGTGCAAAAGGCTTGGGGGACCTTCCCCAGGCGCTCTGCGCGTCAGAAGGCGCGGGCAGCCGCTTCCCGCGGGGAGCGGCGAATGCGCGGCCGCTGCCGGGCCCGAGCCCCGCGGGTACCGCGTACCTGAGAGCGCTCGGAGCGTACGGCACAGCCCCGACACTGCCGGGGGACGCGCCCGCCGCCACAGCGCCGCCATGCTGTACGGCACAGGGCCCCGCGCCCGCCAGGACCCGGCGGGCTGGCCGCGCAGCGCCTGAGCGGAGGGCGGCGGGGCCCCACGGGGATCGCGCGGGAGCCGCCTGAGGGGAGCGCTCGGCGCGGAGCCCTCACGGCGCTGGGGGAGGCGGGCACAGGTTCTGGCGCTGGTGAGCCGCACACACCGGCACGGAATCGTTAGGGTTGGAAGGGACCTCTGGAGACCACCCAGTCCAAACCCCCGTACAAATCACGGCCACCTGGAGCAGGTGGAATGGTGGTTTGGAATGTCTCCAGAGAGGAAGACAGCACGACCTCTCTGGGCAGCTGTTCGAGTGCTCTGCCACCACCAACATGAAGTTGTTCCTCATGTTGAGGTAAAACCTCGTGTGTTTTAGTTTATGGCCATTGCTTCTCATCCTCTCATATCATTAATGAGTTTCCCTTTCAGTCTTCTCTTCAGACTAAACAGGTCCAGCTCCCACAGTCTCTCCTCATAAGACATGCTCCAGCCCCCTCATCATCTTCATGGCCTCTGGTGGACCCTCTTCAATAGCCCCTTGTCTTTTTATACTGAAGAGCCCAGAACTGGACACAGCATTCCAGTTCTGAGCTCCTCAATTAAAATCAGTTAAAATTTGTGTTAAAGTTAGACATTTGAAAGGAAAAAAAAAAAATCCCACAGTTTGCTTGACTGGCTTCCCCCAGATCCTGTGTAGAAAGGGCTTGGGAAAGGCCTTTTGGGAAAGACAAGGATCATGATGACAGCCCAAAACCTTCAGTGATGTCCGAGACCTGTCCTTTCCCCTCTGAACCAGCCATTCCTCTGGAGCAGACGTGGTGATAGGAGCTGCCACAGCCCCTCCTCAGGTGCAGGTCACTGGCCGACAGAAACCTCTGAGGAGGTTTGAACAATGCACCTTCTATGAGGTGTTAGATGCTACACTCAGTGTTATTCCATGTTCCTGTGACTGTGATACATTCAGGATTGTGAGCAGGACTCAGGTCTGGAGCAAGGGGTTCCTCTGCTGGAATGCTGGAGTGGGGCCCAAGCGGTGTGGGTCACTGACCCCGATCTGCACCAACAGTTTGCACACATGGCTGGGCTGTGCTGGGACAGATTCCTGCCCAGGACACCCTCTCAGAGCGCCTGCAGTGCCTCAGCCTCCAGCAGCATCCCTATCCCTGTGCCCCATGCCTGCTATTGATTAAACCAGGGTGATGCTGCTGACCTATCCCGAATGGGAGCTCTGAGAGTTAATAATGCTATCATAATGTTAATGATGTGTTCTGACAGCCTGAGGTAAAAAGGCCTCAAAGCTGCCATTGATCAAAGCAAATCAAGGGAACGAGTTTTCCTCGTTCAGAGGCGCTGGCTTTGCCCTCACTGAAGCTCAGTACTCGCCCTGCCTGTTGCTGTAGGTAGTGAGTCGTGTGTGTTAAGTGCTACCACAGCCAGAAGCTTGGGACAAGAGAATCACATGCTTTTTCTACAGAAAAAAAAGGTTTTAGGCAGTCGTGGTTCAGGCTTTGGAACAAAGGCCTCGCTCACAAGGGGGCAGCATCCAACCATTTTGTTTCAGGAAACATCGATCCCCTGGTCCACAGCTGAGGAGAAATGGCAGGAAATTAAAATACTCGAAGAAAGTTTTATAGAATTCACTTCACCTCCAGTGTAGTCTCATTATTTTTGTTCACCCCGTTAAAGTTTGAAAATGCATTAAAAAAAAGAGGAATTATTATCACTTTAGTAAGTGGATTGATGATTTTTTTCCCAGCATCATTGCTATTAAACCTCCCACCCAAAATACAAGAAAACCAAAGGTAAACTCTGTTATCACTAGAAACACTGTTACCCACTGCAAAAGCAGTAGAAAGAAATGACTAGAGCATACTGAGAGGTCTTTGAATTAAAGAAACCTTGAACATATTCAGATATAATCTTTTATGCTTTTCAAGGTGCATGCATGCAAAGTTGTTTCAGCTTTTCATGTTAGCCACTATTCTGAGTTGAATCAGGCAGTGTTGAGAATATGCTCTTCACACAGCTTTAGTTCAGACATGTAGGATCAAGGGTAGAATTAACTCTCCCCAGACACAAAACAAGTTTATGTGAGGAGATGTCCCTGCAGCATTATGGTGTTCTGCTAATAAGGAAAGGCCTTAAATGTGGCAAAGCAAGTGAAACTAAATTGAATCAAATGAAAGGAAGGTGCTGTCTGTTTCTTCTGCTGCGTCTCAAGTGAAAGGATGAGAGGAAATGACCTTAAAACACTAAAAGAGGTTCAGACTAGAGAGTACAGCTGGTGCTGTGCCACGGTGTGACCATGTGATGCTGGGGTGTGCCCAGCTCTGTGGCTGTATCCCACAGCTCAGAATAAAGCACAGGGCAGCTCCACAGGCTTTCCCATCAGAACCAGCTTCAGAAGAAAGTCCAAACTCTGTGCTGTGCCATTCCACTTGTTCTTGCTCGTTCTCACAGGCTTGATTGATCCTCAAGAGTGATAGAGACAAACAGCAGCAGCAAGGAGTGGGTTGTGCTGATGGTGACAGTATCAGTAAGAGCAGCAGCCCCTGGTATTTCCTTCTGTCAGCACTGAGTAGGTGTGCCTGTGCTGCACTTCCAAACTCTTTTTCAGCAACAAGAGACAGATAATGGTTATCAAATGTGCTTTCTACTGTACCTGTGGCTCAGCTCATATGGCTTTCTACTCTTAATTTAATTATTTTCTGGTTAGCATTATGTTGATTAGATAATTAGTGATACACATTATTTATATATATATGTAATATATCTTAATTTCTTTTAAGAAAGCAAGTATTAAGTCCTTTAGCAGCAAATATGTTTTATTATCAGGTATCATTTAGATAAAGCCTTGTGTTTCTGCAGTGAAAGCATATACTTCCAAAACTGGGATGAAAAAAACTTCTTCCAAGATAGTTATCAGACTTAGCATCATATTTCCACTAATTTTGTTAGTTGTAGCTTGTCATATTTGAAGTCATAAATGAACTTATACACTAGTTGTGGTTTGGTTTATTTCCAGGTGGAGATGTTTATTCAATACACTTTAAAGAGTGTGGTCTTACCCCTGTATCGGAAATGTACACAAATCCATTCAACAAAAAAAGGTGCTTTGGAAGTCATGAATTGATTTTGTTAGCAGGCAAACTTTCTCCTTTTGAATTTATTGTGAAGACAGCTTGCAATTCTGTATGTTGTTTCCTTCGTAGGAATTACATTTTATTACATTTATCAATGGCTTACTTAAATTCTCCCTCAGGAAGATGACCAGGGCCAAATACTTTTTCTACCAAACCTTTTAAAAATTTTGACTTTTCAAGCACATCCTCTTGTCTTTCCTGTTTTTCTGGCATAGTTTCCTTTATGTCTTACATTCCCAGATCAGCAGCCAGGGAGGGTGGGGACAAGAAGAGAGGTGTCAGGTAGATACTGTCTTTGGACATCATCACTTTGTGTCCTTTTTAGTGGGTGGGGTGGGGAATCCATTCTCTCAGAGGTTGCATTTTGTGGCGTGACCTAATGAATAATTTACAGAGTGGCAGTGAACTCTGCTGTGTTGCTGGTTGAACGAAGCTGTCTCCACATCAGGTAGGACCTTTTGGTTTCTTGCCATCTCTCTCTTTTAAAGATTGTTCAAGAATTATTTTCAGAAATTTGTCTCAGAGGAGGACTAGTTCAGAATTTAATCTATGCCTTTTTATTTGGTCCTTCCTTCCTTAACATAGATCTTCTGTTCATAGTTTGTCCTGAACAAGTAATTGATTGCAAGTAAGGGAAAAAAACAGCAGAAACAGATGAATCTTCAAGTAACACAAGTTCTTGGCTTCATTCAAATGCTTCAGCACATATTGCCAAAAAACGTGAGGGTAGAAAAGAGAGAAATGTGTAGACTTAACTGCTTCAGAGTTTTTGTGATGAGTTATAAAGTCCTTGAAAGCTGAAAGGTTTTTTTAATCTTCCTGATAACCTTTTAAGAGGCACTGTAAACACAAAATAGTTTAACTGCTTGTATTATCTGTTCAAATTTAGAGTATGACTTTGCTGGCCACCTTTCTTCTCTTTTAGCTGTTTCCTGTTTTAGATATTGCCAGGCAGTTTCCCGATTCAGACATGAGTGGTGCTTCCTTTCTTCAAAATTCCTCTTTTTCATGTTTCTCAGCAAGACAGACTAATTTGACTGTGGAAAACAGCAAATTCCCATAAAAGAAAATCCCTCCTGCTATTCTGAAAACGCAAGCTCAAAAGAATTTTCTTCCACTCAGTGTTTCACATGATCTGTGGGGTTTATGATAATGTGCTAGCTCTCCTGTCTCCCTTTGTTTTGGCTTTTAAAAACCAGTCTTTGTCCAGGGTTATTAGAAGAAGGGAATGCCATTTGTTGTTATGCCAGGCATGGATTTAGGGGGAAAGCTCTGGCTCCGTGCTATGCACAGCAAGTGGGAATGGCCCTGCCACGCTGCACCATGTGACTGCAGCTGGGAGCTCTGGCCATGAGCAAGTCTGCTCAAGTTTGTGCAGCCACATCAGAGCTGAAGTGGCGACTGTCAGGGTGAGTCAGCCTGAACCAGCCAGTTCTGCTGAGCTGCTGCCCTTCATGTGATGTTGCTCCTGGGCTAATGCATCCTGGTTCTACACCTTCCCATAGATGTGCCCTGGGAATCCAGTACCTGATAGATATTCTGAAGTCTTTTAAGATCTTGGCCCTACATAAAAATAGTATTACACCAATACATTTGTAGCTCTCTGCATTAATATCAGGGCAGATAATAATAAGATGTATTAATATCAGGGCAGATTTTTACTGTCTAAACAAGGATAAGTCATATAGATAGTATATAAATTTATGCACTGTGGAGTTTGTAGCATTGTTAGTATATTAGTAAAAAAACTTGCAAAAATATCCACACTTATAAAGATCATGTGCTGGGCTAACAGGTAAATTAAAGAGAGACATGAACCAATGTCTATCAGGCTACCAAAGAAACTTCTCTTGGGGAAGAAAATACCCCATAACATATTACAAGATTTCAACTTTCTATTAACTTGGAAGCAATTTATGGACATTATCACATAGTTTGGGTGTCTTAACCAACTTAACCTCTAGCTTTGTCTAACTTGCAGTTATTGCCATTCACCATTTTTACTTATATAATAAAAGATGTAGACAACAGCAAGGGTTACTTGCAGGCGTAGCTTTTATCACACAAGTAAACAGCCGTGGGCAGGCAGAAGCAAGTTTGCTCCTCCCATGCTTCCAGCCTGAAGAATATAATTCAGCTCCAAGTTAGAAGACTTTTAGAAGTGTTGTCATGGGATGTTGCTCAATCTGGGAAGTCTTGGCACTAAATTATGCTGCTAAGCAGAAGCTGGGCTGACACCACCCACAACTGGCTGTAGTTAACTGCAAGGACTTCTCCAAAGAGCAGCTGTGTACTTACACAAGGTAAAGCTGTATACTTACTCAGTGCTTAGAGTAAGTTTTGCTGTTTTGACTCTTCTCTCCACAGCCCAGCAGTAAAAAAAATTCTCTGCTAATTTGAATTGTGGGAGGCATCAGGGATCATGTGGACGCAACCAGCTTTTGACCAGACAGGAAATTACTGTCAGTGGAGCTGGACTGCACTATTGCTTACTTCATTCTTTGTTGTGCTTGATGTCTAGATTATAAGAAAATATTTGCAGAGCTAAAGCTCTGTTATAAATGGAAGGGATGGTTGAAAGTTATTCTGTATTGACATTGGGGACTGTGCTATATTGCAGGGCTTTAGTTATGTTTTGTTTAGAGCTACTAGAAACATTTCAATCTTCACCCACCTATTTTTTTGCCACAATTCTTTTTTCAATTAATCTGCTTAAAATTATTTGGTTTTCTCTTGTCATGCTCTCAGGTGGTCCCTAATTCTTTCAAGGACCTCCCCTATCACTTGACAAAGCCTGAAGTTCTCAGAACTTCAGCTCCTGTTTCTGCCACGCTTGGTACAAATACATTCTTTAAGTCTTTAAAAAGTTTCTAGGCTTGAGCTTCAAACACTTGCTGACTAGGTCTGAGTTTTGCAGTGAGAATACAGGAGAGAACTATTACCCTATTGTGGTTGGGATTTTTTTTGTTCTCTTCTGATTTTCTCGATGGTGCAATTTAATTGCAGCTGGATTTTATTGTTCCCACCTCAAAGGAAACAGACAGACAAGCTGAAAACAATGTTTCCTAGAATAAGCCTCTTCCTTTACCTTAGAGCTGTTTGTAGCAGAGTATTTTTCCAGCTAGAAGCCAGAGAAATTCCAATGTGCTATTTATAATGTATTGATTGCAGCTCCTCCTGTAGTTGCTATTAAGCCATTTGCTATACATACCTCGCCTGCCTCCAGCAGCACTCTATATTTAACCCGCATGCCTAGGTCTTGTTCCTACCAATTCTGCTCTGGCTTTAGCATGCCACGTCTGAGCTGAAAAAAGAACTAAATCCCTTGGGCCAAATTCATTCCTGAAGTTGCTTGATTGAACACATTGCATTTATACTGAGCACAGATTTGGCTCACACCTGACTTTGTCAGCATTCACTGTGCTGTAACTAAGTAACAAGAGCACGGTCGTTAGGGGACAGATGAATAGCTTTCTCTACGGTTATTAGAGCACCGAGCACCTTTAAGGAGTGCAGAATCTGTGAAAGGAGGAGTTGGGGAAAAGGACACCGCTCCTTTTAGAGTCTGTGTAACAGAACTGATAAGCTATTCCTGTGATGTGATCGAATGTGACTGAATACTGCAGGCTCCTGGACTCTTATTCTGTAAAATCCACAGGAGAGCAGCACAGGAAAAGATCGGAGGGAACAGCTTCTGCTAGACTAAGAAAGGTACATATTTATGTTTTCTTATTTGTCAGGCTTGACATGATGTGTTATCTTAGATAATGTCACTATTTTAAACAGTGGTGCTTTTGAAAGAAGTGGTGTTTTCCACATTCTGACTGGCACTCATTGTCAGGAAGCCAGTCCGTGGGCAGCAACAGCTTTCACAGAGAAAGAGTAGGACATATTTGTGTGTAATGCATTTGTACTGTATTGTAAATCTTGACAGCTGAAAGAAGTGAGATGAGATAACCCTGACTAAATTGAAAATTTAATTTATGGCTATAAGTATGCTGTAATTCGGTATTCATTTATATTGAAGAAAAAGCTGAATGCAAGTGAAGCTTCACATTCAAGTTCAGTCACATTTGGCTGAATAGCTGCTTTTATAAGTGTTTTGCTGCAGATGTACTTTATGGAGGTTTTCATTCTCAAGAGGGAGTTCTGCTACTCCAAAAATATCTCTGAAGAAGAGACAAAAAGCAAGTACTTTTGCTCGCCTTGTATCCTTCTGATGCCCATAATGGATATTATTTTTACTTTCTGTCCTTTCCAAACAAACTCATTTACCAATACTGTCAAGCACGTCATACTGATGAACTCTGTAAACAACCTTAAACAACCTTTACTTTGTCTCTGCGCTTCTGCTTACTCAGTCATGGGCTTCTCCAACAAAACCCTCAGGTTCAGAACCACATGCATCTGCACAGCTTTGCAGTATTGAAATACAAAAGGAAAACTTCCTGATTTACAGCTTTAGTTTGCATTAATAGAAAAGAGCTTGATCACATTAACACTGCAAGCAACTTATTTGCCATCCAAGTTTAGCAATATTTCCTAGCAGCAGTCTGGTACCCAGTTTACCTCTGCCAGTCTCATACTGTTGTCTTTCAGCATTCCTTCAGGATCACTGGAATTAAAAGTGACTGGGAAGTTTTTGAAAAAACATAATTTTGGCAGCAGTCCTTGAAAACAGACCTTAATGTGTGAGGCCATTCTAAAGCTCTCTCAGAAAGCAATTTCTAGACAGAGACCCTCTATGCCCACTCCAGGCACTTTTCTGGGGGGAGCTTTCATTCAGGATTTGAAAGCAATCCCTACCCTGCTCTATCTCAGGCTCCCTCTTCCCACACAATGTTTGATTACCTGCTATGCTGTGGAGAATCCTACCTTGCCTGGCGTGTTAGAGTTGTTAATTTTCATAGAAATAAGTCATCATTTCAGCAGAGATTTCCTTCCTAATCCTTCAGATCCCTCAGCAGGTGTCCTCACTACCAAGTTTCAGTTGTGCACTCCCCCCAGCCTGAAGAGCAGCCTGTGGACAGCAGAAAGCTGTGCTGGGAGAGAGGCAGATTTACAGTAGATTAGCTGGTAGCCTTGGAAGCAGGGCAGGAGCATGCAGTGGGGATTTGGGACACTAAGGATTCAGCCCTGTGATATCAGGAAGATTCAGTGAAAGAGGTCTGTCCTCAGAGCAGTTAGCCAGTTTGGTCTTTCCTCTTTCAGCCCTTTCTCCCTACCTCCCTATGGGGCAAAGGCATTAAATAACAGCTTGATTTTATTCCCTGGGGAACATGAAAATCTCAGCTTAGAATCCTCTTCACAGACCAGCTCCTAGTGTGCTGTCAGGGCAGAGCACTTTCTGCTTTTGTCAGTCCACTGCCTCCCAGGTAGGATTTGTACAGTTCTGCTGGGCTGCCCTAACCACTGGTCTTAAACACTGGTACAAATGGTACAAACACATCTGGAGTGCTCCAGGAGGAATAAGGACTTTCAGAAACAAACACTTCCTAGGGGTACCTGAAAGGGTCATATTCCTGAAAAGCTGTCCTTCTAAAGGCCTGGTGAAGTGCATGTCCTATCCTTGAAGAATTCTCTCTGCCAAATCTGGCTTTAATCATGCAGTGTGTTCACTAGGTCAGTCTGGATTAGAATGCTACAAATTCCTTGCACCTGTATGTTGGATGGAGATGAGGCCTCTCTGTGTGGCCAGTTCATTCTAAACACTGCACTTCTTTTTGGGACACACAACCATTATATAAACCTTCTGCTCTGGGTAATAGCACCAATACCATCGAGGGAATGGCTGCTGGGAAGGGAGTTTGAAGTGGGTAGCAATTTTCCTAATTGAAATCTATATGGGGAGAATGGATTTAAACACCCTTATGAAGCTTATTTGATGGGGCTCCCAAGTAGGCAATAGGCACTTTTCTGTTCTCTTCCTTTCATTCAGTAAGAAGAAATTTGTCTTTGTTTTCTTTCAACATGAGAACAGGGAAGGAGAGGGAAGACAAAAGGCTATGGGGGCAGAAAACAATCTTTAGAACTTTGCATTTATAGAAGACAGAAAAGTTTGCAGTGAAGTTAAATTATAGTAATTTGAAAAAAAACTGAGAGGAAAATCTAGATTTCAGGCAAGAAATAGTGAAAAATTATATAAAGTCTGTTCAGATTGTTTTCATGATGTCAGTGGAAAATCTGAATGTCAAACTCCCAGACTAAGTTTCCATTGAAATACAAGCTATTCACATTTGGCAATATGATGATTATTTTTCACAGAACAGTTGCACTCACTTGAAAATACATAAACAGTAACAAAAGAATAGAAGGTAAAAAGATTTTTTTTGACCTTTAAATGTACTAAATTACAAAGCTGTTGAATTGTGTTGCCTACAGCAACAGGATACAATAATGTTTGGCAGAAGTTAGCTTAGACTTTCTGACCAAAATACTCTGCCTTTCTTTCTCTGGGAAAACATCAAGAAAAACAAAATGCCACAAAAGAGAGATTGCCTCATTCAAGACAGCACAGGACTAAGAGTCAGAAACTCCAGTCCCAGCACAGCACAGATCTCCTCTGGCCTAGTGCAGAACATTGTTCAAATATGTGTAGAAATGTGCTGAGTCTTCTGCATTGTTTTCACAATGCTTCATAAGCAGCTAATATATCCTTCCTAGTGTACAAATCCTCTGCTTACTTCAGTGCATCAGTGTCTAAAGGCATCATTTCAGGAGAAGCTGAAAAAGGTTGAATGATATAAACTTATCAAGTGCTCCCCACTCACCAGGTTATGTGAGTTAATAAAGTCAAAATTAGATTCTAAACCCTTTAGCAGCAGAATGCTAAAGTACTGTCTGGATGTGTGGAGACTGGTAATGAACTCTTAAACAACCAACCAGTACTTGGCAGTTGGATTAAAGGCATGAAAAATTACAGCAAGACTGCCTGTACCATCTTTCCTCAAAGGCCTGAATTGTCAGCTGGCTGAGAGCCCTTCAGGAAAGCATTTGAAGCACTGCTTGTCTCCACATTTTCCCAGTTGTTCATAAACTCAAGAATAATAATGTCACATAGGCATTTGCTGGGCAGCCAAAACTCCTTTGCCTTTCTTCAGGTGTTATCCATACATTCATAGCAGGGACTTTTCTGAAAAAGATTTATTCAGCTTTACAATTGAAAGTTTGCACACGTAGCAGTCACTTTAACTCTTGTGGCAACACAGAGCAAGATAAGACAGCTCATCCAAGGCCAGATTAGAAAAACATTGCCAAAATGAGACTGAAAGCTAAGTCCCCTGGCTCAGGGTCACAAAGTTTACTCTCATTCCAGCCCTGGAGCATAACAGGGTATGTATATAACAGTATAACAGAATAACAGTATGTGCTGTCTTTGTACAAAAAGGGGGGGGCTTTTTGTGATAATGTTTAGGAGTTAATTTTCAGTACAAAGCAAAGCAATATCAGTTTATCCAAGCTAAAACTGTAATAAGAAGCTCTGTAATTAGGCATAGAAGGATTCACCTTGATTAGAAAAATGTTCTATCCAGCAGTTTTCCACCTCACAAGTATTTCAATATTTGTAATCTCTTATTTTTGCATCTGTAGGAAATGACATCTTGGTAATTACTCATAATGTAGTGAAATGTAAGCTTCAGAATAGTTAAATAGTCAAATTTGATACTTCTTTATTCCACTGAGTGTGAATCTCACTAGAGTATATACTTTTGTTAAAACTTAGACTACTTAAAGGTGCTTACTTTCACATGCTTTCTTTTCCTTCTCAATAAAGATCAGTTTTTAGCAAAGGGATGTTGGTTTGGAATCTGAGAAGCAGTTGCAATGAGTAGTTTGCATCACATTTCCATACAACTTCCTCCAACAGTGCTATGAAAACTTTGTACAATTTTTATGAAACATTGAAAAAGATCAATCTGGTTACTTGGACTTACCTTAATAACTGATGCTACCAATTGTTCTAATCCTTATTTTTTCATGTCAGGGAACTTTAGGAGCAATTATTTTTTAGCAGAGGTTGGAAAAATGTACCAGAAGGGTTGATAAATAGCATTACTGAGAGATCCTTATTGTAACCTTTGGTGAAATGGCTGGAGTCAGCTGCATGAGAATAAAGACCAGGATGTATTGGTTTGGGCTCCATCACATGGGCATTTTTATGATTTTAGAAAAACTGAAGATCATATGATAGTAAGGGGATACTAAATCCCCTAATTTAACATCTGTGGCATTAATAGCAGTCCCTGAGTCTGAGCCAGTTTTCATGGTTTCTTTTAAAGCCATTGGAATGACTTAGGTGTTTCATCTCCACAGGCAGGTAAGTTGGGGCAGCACATTCCCACATTTTGTGTCTGCTTCTCTATTTGAAAATGTCTTTTTAAATCTCTGTAAACTGAAGCAGAACTCCCATTCAAATGCTGATTGTTTGATTATGGTGTACATCGGGGAAAACTGCTGAGCTGCATTATCAAGTTATGATTTGGTCTTATGAAACTGCCAAAATGAGTAAGATTAGATGCATAAGAAAATAACTCAGTGCTTTAGAAAGACTCATCAGTAGTTTGACAGGTTTGGGCATGAAATTTTAATATGTTTTCTTTTAAACTCTGTCTTCTCAAAACCAGATGTACTGATACGTGCTATTCATTCCTTCCCATAATGTTGTCCCTCCAGTTTTCTGTTTATTCCCTTGCTGAATTTTTCATTTGCCTGCTATTTTCCACTTCAAATTTTAGCTTTCAAAGAGAAGGCTCCCTTTATTATGGTGCTTCTGAAGCACAGAAGAGGCTGCAGTGCTAACCTGTGTATTTGGAACCTCAGTATAAGCATTAAATAATAAGAGTAGCTGCCTTGTAATAAGTGGTTATGGGAAACTTGACTGTATGCAACTTTTATTGCATACTTAATGAATCTCATGAATCCACATTAAAGCTAAAATTACTGTTGCATTTTCTAAAGCTGTCATAACATGACTGTCTCCTAGGTAGTGGTAGTTTTAAATTGGTTGAATTACACACTTAATTTTCATATCAAATATTTTCCAGCTAAGAATATGAAAGCAATTACCTATTTTGGTACAGATCTTTTTTCCCTCTGGGTGCATGACCATCACCATGCCTCTTGCTCTTGGCAGACTGCCTTTACAGTCTACTGCTGTCACTAAATTTATTTTCACACCTAAGAAGAGAGAAATTAAGAGGGACAAACTTTGAAAAATACTGTGTAAAAAAAAAAGAAAACCAAAAGTGTCCTTTTCTCTCTTTTTGGAAGGTACCTTCTCTGGAAAGTGGTTTTCAGGATAATTGCCTCCTGAAGGAGTCCTGCTAAGAACAACCCATACTGCCAGTTTATGAAGGTGCTGGCATGTTATACAGAAATATTATTAATAAAAAACCCAGTAGCTGAAAAACATTCCTTGATACTTTAAAAATAAGTGAATTCATCTAGGAATGGAAAAATCAGCGTGTACTCTGTAGGTTGTTTCTACCTGTGACCACCCTCTGGGGAGGCAGGTGGGCTCTGCTCTTACATGTGGTACCATTCATGTGGGAATCAAGTGCAAAGAGCTGAGGCACTGGAAAAAAGTGGATCCCTCTGAATTCTTGATTCAGGCAGTCTGAAAAGGAAGTCTCAGCATTCCTGCAGGACAGGGAGCAGGGCTGAGTTAGCCTACAGAGGCTGTCTCTCCCTGTTTAGAGAAATCTCATTAAATGGTCTCATATCAGTGCTAAGCAATAAAGGAGGAAAGCTGTTCCCCCCAAAATACCCAGCCTGGTTCATCCTGCTGCTCCCATCCACTCCTGCTGTCTGACAGATCTTTGAAGGGCAGCCCCAAACCTGCTGGCAGGATCTCATAGTGCTGAAGTAACAGCCTGTGGCAAGGTCTGCCCAGAGAATGCCAAAGTGTCCGTTGTAAGCAGAGAATTCTGTCTGGCAGTGTCTGCAGTAATTCTGAATGCCAGCACTCCTCTGTGCTGCAGGGACCTGACTGGAGCTGGCCTGCCCCCAAGTGAGTCACGGGGCTGCAGGGGCACAGGTTCACGTGTCCAGAGGCAGGAAAGTCAGAGATCTGCTGGCCTCAGGAAGATCTGGGCTCCATCCATTCACTGGAGTTCAGAATAATTATCTCTCACCTGTGTCAGTAATCCAAATCCATCAACAACAATCATACAATCAACTAAGCCATGAAAGTCAAGTAAAGGCCAGTCAAGTGAAGCTAGAGAGATATTTAATGTTAAACTAATGATCTTTCCACGGCCCCGTCAAAGTTTTTAGTGGACAGATAATGTAAAATATTTTCATGTAGAAAAACTAAAAAGAGCTGAAGTCCCATCTGAAAGGTGCAGGACAATTGGGCCTGGTCAGTAGAACTACTTCTGCACAGAGGGAAAGAAGAAAAATTGACATCCAGGCCTTCATGATCCTGTTGAAGTAATGAAGCAGGCTCATATTAGCTAGGAAAAAATATTCAGAAGGTCCAAGAAACGAGATATTAATGTGCTAATGATGCTGGCAGGCTCTGAAAAGAAACATCTCAGGGTCAGCCTTTGCAAGAAAAGCATTAAGGGTAACTGTTAACATTGGTGACTGCTTAAAAGCAAAAGAAATAGACTTTTAACAGCTCCAAACAAATCATACTTGCTCTGCAACTAAGATAAGAGAATGACTGAACAAAATCAGCTGAACTGTATCTTTAGCATATCTCCATGGAAACTCAGTCATCTTCTGAAGTCAAAATATGTTCTGCATAATGATTCAAAATTTAAGTAGTGGGATAGATTTCCCCCATGTGTATATGCCAAATCCCACTACAGAAGGGAGGTCAGACCATCCATAAAAAATAGGATTTTTCTGGGACAATATTTGGGGAAACAAAAAAGAGAAGCAAGAACAAGTAGGAAGAGATTTGTAGGAATGTTGTTATCTCCTAGAATGATATAATCCCTTTGTCATTGGTCTTGGGTAACTTAGGCAAAATTTTTGAGGATGTTGTAGCTCCTGTTGGAGCTAGAACAGATTTGATGCTGGAAGCTCCTTGTGCAGTGGCATGCTTGGAGCCAGGACTGAGCAGCTGTGTGGGGGAAGGGACCAGAGCATTAAATAAAGCTACTTGTTGACTGCCTGTAAAATTGGCTTCTAAAGGAAGTGCTACAGAGCACCATCCATTAGCAAGTGACAGAGAGCCTTTTACAGCTGCTTTAGACACAATCATAATTAAACTCTGTGTGTTCCTGTTCAGTACAGTTGATTGTGAATTATTTAGCTCAATATTTACAAAAAGGACAGTCCTCTCCTGTGCCACCTTAACCCTGGGTTTTTCTCTTTTCTTCCAGATGCTGGAGAGCTCTTCAGTCCCTTTGTTCAGTGTCTTCATCCTGCTTTTCATTTTGCTGCTCATTGTGTTGCTCATCAGGAAAAATGCCACTGCTGCCCTTATCTGGAATGAAATAATCCGGGAGAAAGTAACCAATTTCATCATGAATCAGAGCAAAGAACAGAGGATTTTAAACTTTGTGCTGCAGAATGCAGTGCGAGGAGACCCCTGTAGTGTGCTGGACACTATAGATAAATACTGCTCCCAGAAAGAGTGGGCCATGAACGTGGGTGATGAGAAAGGTAATTGCAGCAAGGGTCAGCATCTGAAAAGATCCTTCAAGACTAGCACAGAGCAGGACATCTGATTGTATTCACATGGCCACTTCCAGCTGCTGCTGCAGAAAGCCCCACCCACACAGTCTTAGGGTCAGCAGAGTAGTCCTGTGAACAGTCGTGCCTGCTCGTGCAGATATTTTTGAGGAGAAAACTTTCATGCAGAAAGTCAGAGCCCCAGATGTGGGTTTCTGTGTGGTGCACATTGCAAGTGTGTAAGCAGAGAGTGGCAACTTATGGGAAAAATCTAGGGTTGCATTATACCTCACTTTTTACATAGGGTGCCTTCAAGGCATAATTCATTATGTTAAATACTTTCAGATCCTTAACAGCAAGATAGCAAATTGAAAAAACCCCAAAATTGTGTTTAACTATATGAATTTTGTATATGCAAGCATAAATGAGAAGTTTCTGTTGAAGGGAGAAATCCTATCCGTGTCATACAGTATCAGACATTGTTGCTATTTAGCAAGTAAATCATCTTGTTCTTGTCTCCTAAAGAAAAAGATGGGAACAAAACCTTTTTTGCATAGCTCCAGGAAAGCAGCAATCTTTTCAAAAAACTATAGTGGCAAAATGTTAATATGTTCCCTTATGAATTAGAAACAAAAGCACCTCTTGCTGGGATATTTCTGGGGAAATTTGCTTAGTCTGGGATTAACATAGCTAATGAAAAACAACTGTAAGCATTGTGATAAAAATGCTCTTCTAACATGTGTACAATTTTAAAAGTAGCTCCTCAGCATGCCTGGCTGGGGTGCTTAGGAGAGCAGAACTGTGGGTCATGGCTGAGTAGGAATACTTAAAGCTCTAAACTTCAAACATTTGTGATTAAATTCTTAATAATTTCACTCTAATTTTGTTCTGATGGCCTTTCCTCAGATAAAAGCCATCAAAGCTGGAGCATCTTTAGTCTCTGAGATTTCAAGAGTGCCTACATGGCCTCAAGATGCCTCATCATCATATTAATAAATAGCACCCAGAAAAATATCCCTTAATGACCATGGCTTAGCATAAAATCCCTTCCACCACTTTTTGAGTTTAGTTTCTAGCCATATAAATAAGAGGAAATTTCTCACAAATAAATCCTTTCTTTCAAAAGGACTGAATATAGTCACTGTCATTTCTTTTTGGGAACATTTTATGTTGTTAATAATTGAGTAATATTTTCCATTCCACAAATTCATGCAGTGAAACCAAATATTTTGCAGCTTTGTAAGTAGACTTTTCTTTTTTCCTTTAAAGATGAGTATTTGGAATAAGAAATATTATATCAGACTGCAGCATGTAACATTAGCAACAAACATGAGCACTCAAAATCCAGGAGTTATATATTTCACAAATATGGCTTCTGCAGTAATTTCTTGGAAAAAATTACTGTATTTCTCCCTTCTAACACTATAAATTAGTGACAGGGAATTCCATAAGTTATATTCAGGGAATATAAATTAATTCAGGGAATTCCTTATTCAGAAATATGTATATTGTGAAACAAAGATTTCTTTTAGTTGAAAGTTTGCACATGGAAACTTAAAACGTCCATGATTATCTTGATCACAGGCCAGTTTGCAAAGGATACAGTATATAACTTGACATCAGCTCTTAATTTTTGAATGTCTTGAGCAACTGAGTACATGGTTTTTTAAAGTTTCTTGTCACAACTTGCTCTTCTGTATATGAACCAGTTTGGTTTTGTCTAAAGGTAATCTTTTCCCCTTTTAATCAGGTAAAATTCTGGACAAGACAGTGGAAGAGGCCAATCCATCAGTTGCCCTGGAGCTGGGGACGTACTGTGGCTACTCTGCAGTGAGGATTTCTCGGCTACTGAAGGCAGGAGCCCGTCTGCTCACTGTGGAGTTCAACCCAGAGTTTGCTGCTATAGCCAAACAGATGATTGAGTTTGCTGGAGTACAAGATAAGGTGAACACCATTTTGTATTTGGTAAATACAATGGTGAATACCATTCACTACAGCAAAACTGGTTAGATTTTGGTTTTGTTTTTTTTTTCTTTTACCCAGGGACCTTATAAATTTAACCAGCTCCATGCTTAGTTAGAGTGCCTGACCTCTCCCAGCAGGACTTCACTATATTGCCTTCCAAAAGTCAGAAGAATACTGGGTTTCTCAATATAAACTAAAAGGTGTCAAGACTAATTACAAAAACTGAACCATAGTCCAGTTTGTTACAAAAGGTCACAGGAGTCAATTGTATAATGTGCAGTGGACTTCAAATGAGAAGTATTTACCCAAATCTAGCTGGTCACAGTACCCATATCTAAGTTTTGTGCAGGCAGAGGTCTCTTGACTCTCTCTAGCTGGTTGAGATGCAGGTGTTTCCAGTCTATATCCCCCCCAGGCTGGGGGATTCCTGCCTGAGAAGTGCCTGTCTATTCAGCAGACATCTCACTTCAATGGAGCTGGAAACACTGGAGGAAATAAGTCCCACCAAGGGACCTTCTAATGTGTTTCTTAACTTCTTGAAGAGAACCTGAAGTACCAGTACATCTAAAACTGCATTTGCCCATCTGATTTAATCTCCTGATCAACTATGAGTCATAAAACAGACATTTCCTTACCACTTTCTTCCTCCTCTCAGGGTATATGGTGCTTGCCTAACAAAAATCCACGTGCAGCAGCTGCTTTCAGTGTAAGAGTAGTAATTCCAATAAACCTGTGAGGAAGATGTAACAGCCTCTGTCCTGTCTCTTCCCTCTCCTGGCTATATAAATTTTACATACTGTAGCCTCCATCTTTTTTCTAACCCAACCTGTTCTCTGCATCTTTTGCTTCCCTTGGACTACAAGACTCAACTGAGATGTAACTAAAACAAAAGTAATTAAAATCACTGTTTTCAACAGGAGATTTCCATGTTTCTAGTAAAGACACACATTATACAACAAAAACACAGGTCACCTTTTCTGTTGTTAATTTAAAAACCAACAAAATCCAAACCACCCAAATTCATATTTTGAAACTTAACTGAGTTGGTTTGTCAAAAATAAAAAGATATATTTGACCTAACCCTGCCAAATAACTCAGCTGACACAATATTGAGCTATAAACATGATCCCTGATGTCTGGCTACAATTTAAAATTAGCTAGGAGCATGTGATTTTTCTTAATGGTTCACAATTCATCACATGGATTTGTATTTCAGGTAAAACTCCTAGAAGGCCCTTCAGAGGAAATTATCCCCCAGCTGAAAAAAAAATATGAAGTGGATACTCTGGATTTTGTGTTCCTGGACCACTGGAAAGACAGATACACACCAGACACCATCCTGCTTCAGGTCAGTTTGCACTATTCCAGTCTTAAAAGTAAAGCAGCAAATATCTTCATGTCTGTGAGGCCTCTGTTCTTTATGAGGGACCTCATCTGATGTAAAATAAAGACTGGCAGCCAAAATAGCAGCCTTACAAGGAAAGAGGATTTGAAGGACAAGACCCTAAACTCTTGTTAAGGACAACTGCCAACACTACATAGCTAAGGACTCAGTGAGTACTGCTGACCCCTTCTGTTTCCTGAACATACAGCTGTGCACTAGAAACTCTACTGGAGGAGTGCATGGCCTGAGCCTTGCACTCCCAGGAGTGTGTGCATGGTCACCAGCCAGAACCCTTGACCCAAAGCTCATCCTGCTCCTGGGAGTGGGTGAGACTTGGGACCTGCATATCCCAGCTCCACCTCTCTAATTTCCTCAGTATTCCTTTTTTTTGCCTGGGTCTATGGTGCCAGCAGAGCCTCTTGATGAAATACTATTTTGGTAGCATGGCTGTGGTAGCATGCTGCAAAGCAATGTTAAAAAGAGTGCAGACTGCTCCAGGCAGGCACTTCCTAGGGAAATGCTGTCCAACTCTATGTCCAGCCCCAAATGTGTAAAAATTATGCTTATTTCTTCCCAAGCTGCCTTAACCATTACTGTGGGTATTACAAAATAAGTTGGTTGTAACAGCAGTAGGCAGTGGCAAAGGACTGCTGGATAGGAAGGTATTTTCAGGTGTTAACTGAGATGGACAACATCTGTACCTATCAACACAGCACATACAGATACTGTCCCAGCTGATAGAATTTTCTACAACTGCCTGCTTTTACAGATCTGCCATTTTTCAATTATTTTCTTCAAATAAATCCACTTTTTTGAGCCTGCCTCTTAGATTGAGAACCTGCCAAATACTTCCTGACCCCTGCCTGAGGATTACAACACTATTTTCTGACCCAGCCTCCCTGTTTTTTTAGTTTTAAGCCCTGTCCTCCAGAAAGCTGTTTGAAAAGGAAATTTGTTTGGTGTTATGAACAGCTAGTATTGAATTTACACAGCAGTAGCTGAAGAAAACGTTCCCTCTGTACAGTTATTTTGTACTCAGAGAGTCCTTTCTTTTAAACTGCCTGTGTAAGGATGACTGAGCTCTTTCCACAGTGCATCCTTATCAGAACTTAGCCTCACAACACAGCCAAAGCAAACAGACGGTTTAGTTCCATGGTAGTGGTGATTCTGATGCAACTGTGCTACAAAGTTGCAAAAAAACTCCCGTGAAATTAAGAGGAGAAAGACAAAGAAAAGATCCTCAGATTTTTTCAGATGTCATAAGCTTTCTAAAATGTATTCTCAGCAGGTATTGCAGTATGAATAGTGAATATGAATTTATTCAGATGAAATATGTATATATTGGAAGTGGTCCAGACAAAAAAAGCCAGACATGAAGAGCATTTGAAATCCTGATGACCAGTGGAAAATCCAGTATGTTGTCTCTTCTAAGCTTCTGTAAGCTGTGCAATAGAAACAGACTGGAGGGTATTTGACATGTCTCTAAAATCACTTTACTGTGCTCACTGGTGTTCAGTGCCCAGAGGCAAGAGCAATAAGCTCAAGGGCTTCTGCAGGACACTCATCAACTGAACTGCTCTCATAGACTGGGAGTGACCAAAAACACCCCATGTTTTGGCTACAGCTACTGCCTGTAACCACAGGATAACAACAAACTGATTTAACTACAGACTTCGTTTTAAAACAGCTGGTAAGCCCAGATAAGCACTTCTTCTAGACAAAAAATACCAGTAAAAATTAGGTTTTTAGATTTACTGAGGATAAACATTGCACTTGAAGTGACTACTGCAAATTAGTTATGTGTTGTGGAAATTCAGAGGGATCTTCATTGTGCAAAAACCTCGCTTCACGCCCAGATCCCAAAGAAATCGGCAGGAAGTTGTTCAAGATGAAAGGAAAACAAGCACAGAAAATCTTTCATTCTTTTAGCAGTTCTGGAATCTGACTGAGTCTGGCCAAAGCAGTACATGCTACTCTCAGGTGACCTAAAAAGCTACTACAGCAGTTTAATGCCATATTAAAAAAGTTTTTAAATGAGGCATGACAGCCAAAACAAAGCCACCTTACTGATCATGTAGACATAGCTGGAAACAAGCTGAGGAGCAAAGCACACACTCCCACTTGATTTCCTATTTCAGAATCAGCATCTAATGTTGTACTAATAAACAGAAGAACTTAGCAAATGACCACAAAGGATCCAAGAGTTACTCAGCTTCTCCCATGTCTCTCTGACCTTGCAGACGTGTACCACGATGGGTTTTGGGATGCAGACACTCGAGTATACCTGGTTAACATGAAAGTACATTACATTCAAGCCAATGTCTGCTTAACAGCCACTATGAAGCCATTTCTCTTCTTTCTAGGAATGCAACTTGCTGAGGAAGGGCTCAGTTCTTCTGGCTGACAATATCATTTTCCCAGGAGCTCCAGATTTCCTTAACTATGTCCGCAAGAGCCCCCATTTCCAATGCACTAACTACCCATCTCATCTGGAATACATGCAAGTGGAAGATGCTATGGAGAAGGCTGTGTTTTTGGGATAAAGAGAATCATTAATAATCAACTTTTGTTTCAAATGATGTAAATGCAACTGCACAGATTAACTTGTCCATGCTTTACAGGTTTTTTTTTTAATTATTATTTTTTTATTTTGGAGCTTGTAATTAAACAAGCAGTAGTGATCTTTTTAGGCGAGGTAGAAACCAGAATATGGACTAAGTTGGGTCTGTGCCATTGTTCCACATTAACTCTGCAAACCCAAGGTGATGCACATTGCCTTGCCTTGACCAACACATCATCAAACAACAATCTGTCATTTTGAGCTCAACTTGAACAACCACAATTTGGGTTTAGGGTGGAGAAATACTCTGCAACTTCTGAAGACTTGTGTCCCCAAGCTAAACTCATTAATCATTAGCAAGAGTGAAAAAAAACATTCATCATGTTGCAAGAAAAGACCATTTCATGTGCCCTGTTTTTGCTAAATTACTAGCATGCCTCTTGATGCAGTGAAGGCTCCTATTGTGAGATCAGATACTTCTTTGCACATTTACTGCAAAAGTTAATCATCTCTATGTGAGAGAAAAGAGCACACACTGAAAGAAGGCAGACCCATGCAGTGATGAGAACAACAAAACAGAATTTTGAAAACACAAACAAATAAAATTATTAATCTGCCCATGCAGAGGCAGGGAAAACTGAAGTAGTAAACAGATTAAAATAAATACAGTGACAGGTAACAAAAGGACCAGACTCTTTCCAAAAGGAACACAAAACTACATCGTATTTGACCTGGATGAAATGCTGGTTTTCCCCTCGTTATACTGTACATACATAGTACGTGCTTTTAGGGGCAGGGCAAGCTGCTTATTCTGAAATGCTGAATATGTTTAAAATGTTGTATAGAAATAAAGTCCAGAGAGAATGGGTTCTAGAATGGGTTCTAGCAGGTGGGCCCTGCATGCCTTGGTTAACCTCAGTGCTGTTACACCATGTGAATAGTGTGGGTCGTCACTGAGAAGATTCAAAGCCAAATACAAAGTCTCTAACTCACCTGAAAATGCAGAAATCCAGTGGCATTTCCTAGCACATGTCCTGCTGTGATTATATAAGGCAGCAACAGTCACATTTCTAAATAAAAGGTAAGAAACAACAGAGCAAGGGCATGACTTGTAATTTTTTCCAATGAATTCTGTACTGCACATGAGGCTTCCAGACGTGAAACAGACACAGAAAGATCCAACTGTTGAAAATCAGAGTGAAAATCAAGGACAAGCATTCTTGTCTTTCCCAGGATGAATTCTTTCAAGCCTGTTATGAGTTTCTTCCTTGCATAGCCCACCTTACCACAGTGGTCCCTCCCCTGGCCTGTGTGCTGCAGAAAATCCACCACCAGGACACTACTAAGGAGCAGAGGATCATCAAAAGAAAACTAGAATGGGCTAAGGTGACAGAGTCAGTTTAGAAATGGACCAAGAAAACCACAGTGACCCAGCCAGTTTGTAAAGTGTGCATTTCACAGGACAGGACAGGAGAAGGCAACACTATCAGAGTTTTCCTGACAAGGTAACTGTCAGATCATGAAAGACACAGATTTCCTGTACTGGGTTGGATTATGCAGAAGCAGCCTCAGGTGACTCTGTTGTACTGTTCTGTGTAGAGCCAACACTGAGTTCTAACACCTCCATCTTGTACTGAAAGTCAGTGATTAGTTCTGGTATTCAGCTCAACTCCAAGTCATCGGACCAAAGTCCTTCAGGTGGTTGGAAGCAATTTTTGCAAAATTTGCAATGCAAAATAATCAAGTACATTTACTGGCAAATACAAGTTTGTAGGGAAAACTGGAAAATCTGGATACATACTGTTGACCAGAAAATTTGTCTGTGTACTCAAAGCCTTGACTCTAAAGAATCCTCACTTGTGTTTAGCCCTCAACACCTTTGGAGCCAACAGACACTCCTGTCACAGCAGGGCACATCACACAGGCTGATGAGCAAGCCAGTCTCAGAAGGATGAGTAAGAGTAAACAGGTAGACTCTTCTGCACTTTGCAAGAGAGGATCAGAATAATGGCCAAAATTACTGTTCAAGAGACTGTCAAGAAGATTAGGAAAGGTGGGAACCTGTAGAGTGGATATTTCAAAAGATGCAGTAGTGAATAATGTATTTGTAATACATGTGGCAAATATAACAGCCACCTTTTAGTATAAAAAGGTATTTTAATTCATTAGAAAGCATCTCCTACCTGGCAAACTGTAAAAATAAACACAATGTATGTTCTATCAGCATATTAGCAGAATTCCATATGTACGAAAAATTTTTCCACTTCACTACATTTTTGAAATGCTCTTAATTATTGGTGGCAAGGGATGAAAAGAAAAAAGCCAGACTCAGTTTGCATGACTGACAATTAGAAAAAAGGCTTTTGGTCAGTTGAGCAAATATGATCTGGAGTCACTGACACATAAATGTGAAATATCCCAGGGAAAAGAGACACTATTCAAAATAAAGTCACACTTTGAATTCTGGGAGAAGGAAAAGGCAGACAGTGGATTTTCTAATTTGAACATATTTTAAAAAACCTACTGAGTGTTACTGCAACATCATCCTATTACAGTTAGAAGACACAACCTATGCTTGCACAAACTGTGTATGGAATGGTGCATGTGGAGCATGTGTTTAAGGAGTGCCCAAGCTCCCAAGGGGAAGAACTCTCCTAAAGCAACGAACACACATCTCTGCAAATTCTCACAGCTCATGTCAGAAACGGATGATCTCACCAAACACTGGTAATTTACACCTATTCTCCAGATGACACTTACTGTCTAGGTTGTCTTAGTGATTCAGGCTGTACATGAGAGTGAGGTCTGGTTTCTGCCAGAGCCTCTTTGTTAACTCAAAGGGACATGATACTGTCTTTCAAAATATTGTACAAGAAAGGAGGATTTAAGAGGTAGTCAAATATAGCACTACTGACTTTTGCATAGCAGCACCCATGGAAGTGATCCTTCCAGCAGAATTTACTTGTCTGAGTACAGAGCAGGGTGCAGGAGCCACTGCCTCCTCCCACTGGCATGAGAAAGTGAAAAGCAGCTCACTGGAGAATTCTGAGCAATGAGTCAAACACTACCTGCAGTGAACAGAACATACAGAAACCTCTACAAGAGCAACAAGACAAGAGAAACCACTGAGATCCCAACTCTCCCAGCCAAGGTGACACCAGCAGGGCAGTGATGTGTCCTTACTTGGCTGAGCAGTCAATCAGGAATCAGTTATAACATACCTTACAAATAACAGCTATGATTGCTGTGCACACACACACTTTGAACAGAGGACCAGAGTTTCAGTCTTTGCCTCTGTCTGTACAGCTCAGTTAATGACATTATAAAGCACCTTCCTGTTTCAAAAGACCCCCCATCAGCTTGTACAGAACAAGATCCTGCCACTGCTGTGCTTAAGAGACCTGTAAAGAAAGACACTGGGAAGGGGACCCTCGAGGACAGAATATTACCCCAAGACACTGCTGAAACCTGAAACAGATGAGGGCTGTGGTATTTCTTGCCCACAGTTACCAGATTAACCTTTCACCTGCAGGACTCACCACTTCTGTTTGCCCAACCTGTGATAAGCTGGAAATGAAGTCATTTTGACAGCTATAAAATGTCAGTTGTAAAAACAACATATTTGTTTTAACTCAGTACCTTACCTACAACATCTGCTATTCATTGCCATATTAGTGCACCCACAAAGGGAAAATAAGGTTCCTCACTGCAGTGGAAGAACGATGGCACCGAGCTGCAGGATGCTAAGTCCAGGAGCCCACATCTTATCACAGCACTTGTGAAACTGTATCCTCCAGCTGCAAGAACAGATTCAGAGATGATTTTACAAAACACCTGGGGATGCATTTAAAACATCTGAAACAAGGAGGGAAGGTAAGGTGAAAATGACCTTCCAAGCTCTGTTTGCAAACATTTGCATGTAAATGAAACCTTACAGTGCTGTGAATGGTACAATCAGGAATCCTCCTATGGCAAACTCTGTTACTGGCAATGATTCATCAACCTTTCACTCAGAAAACCTGACCTCCATTTTCTAAGACCTTGCAGAACATTCTGTGGAGATTAATCAGGTTTTGTCAGGCTTCATGAAGGCATGGCAGTGATTATGGTGTGTTTAGGTGTGCCAGTCACTGATCTCACAAACACAGATGAGACAGTCCTCAAGAGAATGAGTGTCTGTTGGTAACTGGCTGTTACCTTAAGTACATGGGTGACTCTTCATTATCTGGATTTTCTTCCATTCCACAGTACCAAATGTAAGTTATTTGGCACATCTCCAGAGTAACAATTTCTCATGTCAACCAAACCTCATACATTGCTACAATTTGGTTTTCTTACACACATTTCAGAAATGTGCAATCTTTGTAAAGCTACATAGATTTTATGACTTAGTTGAGAAAGGTTAGTAACTTTCCAAATGGAAAAGCTATCAGCAAGTTCTGTGCTCACAGACGTGCTGGCCCTTGAACAGTGATGCAGATGTTTTTTCCCACAGAAATATGCTTGTATATTAAAAAAACCAAAAAACCCCATGATCTACAGTCCAGGGTCATGCTACAACTCCAGCATATGGCAATGAGTCAAAAATGTTCAGCTTTACTTATTTATAGGATATTTCAATTGCCTCTCATTACCACTGACCTTTTGCTAACACAGAGTATTGACCTGAGCTAGGGTTGAATAATCTCCTGCCACAGAAAACTGCTGCTGCAAAAGCCAAAGAATATTTGAGATACCTGATGTAACAAAAAGATAACCAATGGCACATGTATTCTTTCCAGGCATGGTTTATTGAAAACACACCAAACTGTTATCCTACATACCTGGTTTCTAACAAGCATTCTACTTGTCTGCATTATGGAAAGATCCTATCATAATAATAATACATTCTGTCACGGTAATATTTGTTCTATGAAAAGCATAATCCACCTTTTTTCCCTCTCCATACTTGTAAAATCAAACCATTCTAAGTGTTTCAGTTTATAGTACAGTGTAAATACAATGCAAAATCCCACCAGTCTAATCTACAGAGAGAATGTTGAGCAGTTATTACAGAAAACACATTGTTGATTTTTTTAAATTCTCCTACCATGAAAATTTTAAGGCACATGATAGTTACAAACACATTAGCTACTAATTACCAGTAAGCTTCTTAGTCTAGTTATTTTGTTTTTTCTGAACAGTAAGAACCAGATTGGCAGGCCTTGTAGTATCTGCACTATCTTCCTCCTCACCTTGGACTTCAGATCATCCTACCCTGATGGCAAACTTTAAACAGAAAACAAAGGCTCATAGTATCTTCCCCTTAAATGCACTAGGTTAGTTACTGTATCAGTAAATCAGAGATTTTCTCTGTCAAAGATAAGGAAACACCAGATTTTAGGGGTATCATAAAGAAATTTTGCAAAAAACTACACCTATATAAACACCTTCAAAAACTCCACCCCAACAGCACAAACCTGCTGGCTGAAAGTATTGGCACATTGTAGGTTTCACTGAGCCAGCAGTGGCTCAGCAGATGAGGCTATAACCACTCTGATGTGCCCATTTGGCTTCTGAAGCTTTGCTTGCTCGAGGGTTTGACACGTGCACCTCTCTCACAGGTAGCTGAGCCTATGCTCAACCTTAAGGCAGGTAACAGAAGGTAACTCACCACCTTCAGTCTCATGAAACTGCTCTGGGAGTGAAAACTGCTTTGCCTAGCACAAGGCTTTCCTGCTAGAAAGCGTTACTGAAACTGCTCCTCAGAGCTGGCACGGACTTAGGAAACTGCTGTAACAGACATGCCACTCCTGGCTTTCTTCATGTGTCCTGACAGCAAGTCAGCTCCTAGTCCCAGGGGCATCTTGGCAACAGAGACCAGATTTGCTTTCTTGATAGAAGCACATTCAGAACCAGGTCTGAGCATGTGAGAACAGATCTGGGATAGGCAGCAGTTATGCCAGAACAGAAGACACTGAAGATTGGGACCTATGGCTGCCCAAGCTGTTCCCCAGGGAGCATTTCAAGCTGACAACACACCTAGAGTTGTATGTATGCCTATACTGCTACTTAAATCCACGACAGAACCAAAATGTCCTACAGCCTTGCCTTTTGCTCTCCTCCTTGGATTCCACAGACACACTGACTGACCTGGGAACCATAAAGCACAACTGCTCGCACACTTACTTGATGCTTCTCAGGGGAGTTGGCACAGAGTGCTTGTTCAGTGAAAATGCCTGGGAGATATGCAAGCCACCTTCTAGGAAGAAGGTTCCACAGTAATCACATGCTGTCAGAAGTCTCCCTCTCCCCTGTTTTATCTCAGCCCTTACTGGGCCATCAAATTTCCTCCTCCTCTTTAGCAGGAGTCTTGCAACACCATCACTTCCTTCCACAACCATCCCTCCCACTACAATTTCTGCAGGTAGAAATCTCTTCTATCCCAGCCCCTTGCAGGCAGATTCCCCCCTCCTGTTTTCACAGTGGAGTCAACAGTAAAAGAGGAGGTCACAAACCTGAGCCCTAAAAAGCAGTGCCTGCCTTTTAGCAGGAGACTCTAGACCCTACTGCAGCATTAGTCAATACACACTGCCACTTTCCCTTCTTTACATACAGTCCCTGCTGCCAAAATACAACAATTACGGGTTGATACACCCACATTCCAGAACAGCTCAAACAGCCATTCACACTTGAGCCAACAAGGGGAGAGGTGAGGGCAGGAGTGGGCACACATCCCACCAGTGAGCCCCTGGCCACAGACAAAAAGGACATTAAATCACCAGACCTGGTTCAAGGTACCCTGCTTTGGACCTCAGCAGGTGGGCTGATAATACAAGGTGATAGTCACATACAAGTCATCCCCCAATCTGTTTTCTTTCCTCACCATCCAAACAACAGTTAGTTTGTCAAGAAGAAAAACCCCCACAGTAGTGCTGAGGATGGGTTATTGCTACATACTTGGGAATTAGTTGTCAATGTAAGGCATGGGAAGGGTAGGGGTTTGATGTGTGATTCCCAGGGGAAGCCTTGGCCCATCAATTTGGTATCCAACTTCTTGACACACCATCCTCTGATTTTCTGCAGCAATAAACATGCTGTCAGCTCCCAACTCTGCTGGCTGCTGTAACACCCCCAGGAAAACAAAGAACAGTTTGCTACGATGACCTGGGCAGCCAGTGCCATTTAACCTGATAGGGACAGTTCAGGGTGCAGTGTAAATACAAAAAAAGACTTTTGGGAGAAGTGAGATGGGGTCTGAATCTGCTCCTCCAATATCCTTACTGTTTTTAGCCCATTAATGACACAGATGAATGTAGACTCCAACCCAGATTCTGAGTGTCCCTGTAGTGTCCCAGTAAGAGCCATGGGATACCTAGGATTGAAGTCATGACCATAATTGGCCCCAGTCACTTCACTTGCTCCCTCCTGCGGTTTTCTCTGATAACTTCTTGCTGGCTTTGAAATATCTGCACAATAACTAAACCACAAAGTCTTAGCAGAGACTCCTTTCAACAGTCAGGTCTTTATTTTAAGTGAACTTTTTCTCAGACTCCTTTGGTAAATATATGATTTGAAGTAGATCAGGGACAGACTGACAGCATGGCCCTTCTCTTACACTGTTCTAGTCAGCTACAAAGCAGGTTCCATTGCTAATTACTGAACGTTTTTAAAAAAATCCTTTCATATACAAAAAGAATACACCAAGTACATAACCAAAAGTGATATAAAACTCTTCTGTGTAGCTTGGTTAAAAGGGTCTCCGCGTATTGGCAGAACAAGTATGAAAAGAGCACCATTGATATAATATACAGTCAGACGATGTATCTGGTTTCATTGCCACACTTTATGTCTACACAGAGACACACTGCCCCGACACACATAGTCACAGGTGCCTCTCTTTGCTTCCCTTGATCCGCTGAGCATCTTTGGCCCAATAGGACTCTCATGCAGGTGAAATAACAAATCTTTGCTATGTTGATTTGCTCCAAGCAACTTCACCTTCCCCAGGATCCAGAAGTGACACTGCAACGTATGTGGAAGATGAGGGTCAAAAAGGGAGGGTGCGAAGCAGCACACGTATCATCCAAATCACTGACAGCTTCTGGCATCAGTCTTTTTCCCTGAATCAACAAATGCTTCCCTCTCCTGCAAACTACTTTACATGGTTTTGTTAACCTATTCTCTGCACAACAATATATATATATAGATATATAGACTTTTTTATTTATTTATATATATGTATTCATGTCAAATTTTTAATATACTCAAGAAGATACAAAGCTCTTGGTACTTGCCTTTTTTTAAAGTTTTTTAAATTTTTTTTTACAAAAAATGTAATGGTTACTATTACAGTAATATTTTGGGGGAGGTGAGATTGTTGGATACTTCCCCTTTTTAGTTACAAAAGGAACGGCAGGCACTGAAAACCGCAAATGATGTTTGCTAGACTCAAGGATGTGCTTTCCAGTCACAGCGCTTTTAGGAGCTTTTTTAAAACTAAAAGTGGCAATCAAAGAACAATGGCAACCAAGTAAAATCAGCAAAAGTCCTCTCAGTGCTAATGCTGAGGCATTTGCTTCCTATTCTCATCTGCTGCCCTCCCTTGACCAATGCCTGGAGAAAATCAGTGATCTGAAATAATTTAGTCCCCGGCATTTCCAGATACCACATTTGCAGAGTACATTTTCTTGAGGTAAACATTCCCCTACAGAAGGCAGGCCTTGGCATCCTGGAGGAGAGCTGCTGCACACAGGTGATTTTCACGCCACATGAAATATGCAATCTCAAAAGCAAAGGAACACAGAAACCATGACAATGATTTTAAAATGCCAAACCAGTTCCCTTTGTGGCATTTTTCATCAGGATCTTTAGCCCAAATCAAACATGGATCCAACATTGAAAAATTTACTATCAAATGTAAGTGACAGACCCATCTCAAATTTATAGTGTGTTCAAAATGAGACATCCTACAAAAAAGCTCCTATTTCCTTCAATGTCTTAACAGCTATGGCAAAAGTAGTTCATCATCATCAATGCAACAATGATACATTTAACATGTAAAAGCTCCTTATTGCAATCTTTGAGAACATGAAAATAAAAAGCCAGCCAACTCCATTTCCCAGCACATATTTCTGAACCAGGGACACTGAAACCTTCCATAAACTGCTTTTCAATATGTAGAAATAAAAACAGAGACAATACAGAATTCAAAAGGCAGAAGTATTGTACACCAGATTATAATGATAATATAGCACTGTGATTGATATAGCTTACTCTAAAAGCAGATTATACAGCTTGCATCAATTTTGTCATCCACTCTCCAGTTCATTTAACTAGCGTTTAATAGTTTTTGTTCTGCATTTTCTCCCTTCATTGAAATCCAATAAACCCACTCAACATTCCTGCACCTTCTGTGGGAATAATAAAGAAAACCTAAACATTTTTCAGAAAGCCTTCAAAAACGTTAAGAGTCACAGTTCAAAAGAAATCCCCCAAAACAAAAACCAGAACCATGAACCCCAAACCAGAAAAGTGCTATTCTCCTCATGGCTACACCTACGGTATCATTTCAAACACCCCGCAGTTCCTGTCCCGCTGTGAAGCTGCCCCATGATGTGCGCTTCTCCAACTTGGCACCATCCACACGTAAGAGTCACCTAAGAACGCAGCCAGCTACATGGAAGCTTGGATTCTCTTTTCTTGCTTTTCTTCTTGCAGGAGTGGGAGGGAGGGAGGGGGAGGCGGTGGCTGTTTCTGGTGGGAATGTCAGGGAGTTAAGCAGCAGAGTGTCTCGCTGTAAGGCATCGATCGTGCTCCGGGCGATGGCACTCGGGTGGGTTCGCTCCCCACGCCCTCCTGGGACCTGCAGCCCTCCCAGTCTGAATGGCAGTGGTGACTGATGAGATCCTCTGGGTCAATTCAATGTTTGTTTCTCCCCCCTCAATTAAAAAAAATGTGGTTGGACTTTAGCCCTGCAAAATAAAGTCAGAACTGATTAATACCAGTCATTAGCATGGTCTTGGTGATCTCCATCACCTTGTGGTAGGACAGTGACTGGAAATGCCAACCTATGCCAACACATGGGCTCCTTGATGGACATGTCTGGGAAAAACAAGCATAGACCTAATTTTCTGAATTCAGGACCCCACCTGTAGAGCTCCACTGCTCAGAGCAGAGTGCAGGAATGAAGTAGGCACCACAGGCACATTGATGCTACCCCGTGCCTGAGCCACCATGGCTGATCACGCAGTGCTGAGCAGCCGTGGGAGGCCAGTGGTGCCAAGACCTGCTCTGTGACAGCACCTCAAAATGCTGAAAGCCTTCTCTGGGCAGGTGCTTCCAACCAGAAACAGAAACCATCTGCTAACACCTTGCATTTCTATTAGACTGAAAGGAAGGAGGGAAAAAAATATCCAGCACCACCACCCAAAAACATACAGGAGCTTTCTCTCCCACTAACGAAAGGGATTTCCACATAGAATTATGTGGGTGAATGACAGCTCATGGTTTGGAATTTGGGCCTTTAAAGTCTCTTGCTCATTCTGATGGGAAAGTTGCTCAGTGCCTTCGTGACAGTCACTGAAATTTTCCTTTAGTCATAGCCAGGGGCACAACACCTGCTGTTCCAAACACAGCATCCTCTGACAAAGTGCCAGAAGGTATCACCAGGGTGACTCGAGCAAGACAGCAGGACACAGATTAGCAGTGGCAGGAGCGAAGAAAGGCTGGTAACATTACTGAGGAACTTGGCACATGGCAAAGGCACACAACTAGAACACAACAAAAAGGCATCTTTCCTTAGTGACACACAACAAAAAAAAAAAAAAAAAGAAAATGGAAAGTGGGAGTTGTGGGTCACTATTTATTGTGTAACCAAGATCATCTCCTTGCAAAGTAACTTGTGTTACAGTCAGCAGCTTTCCTGCTGTAATTCGTGGGAACCTTAGGGGACAGCCAAAAATAGTCAAGGATATGTTTTTTCTTAAGTCTCAGGCTAATCCTTATAATGAGCATTGAGGGAGAAAAATGGTTGGAAGCAGGAACACACTACTCAAATTCATTCCCTTGGCCTAACAGCAGAAATATTTCACATTTCAGCTGACAACTAATCATTCACAATATTAATTTTCTGCCTGGTTATTTGACAGGTTATTTTTAATCAAACAGTGGTGTTTGATTGCATTTCATTAAAGATACACTGAATAGTATAAAGACCACTTTTTTTTTCTTCCAAATGCACTTTCATCTATCTGTAAGTTAGCAGTTAGATTTGAAGAGATCCCACAGCTATACAGATCATGCACAAGAGAAAGTTATTCACTAGCCCCAATTACCATTAAAAGGACCTACCATGCATGCAAATTAGACCCAGGAGTCAACAGGCTGGGGTTTAATGTCACGGGCATCCACCAGATTCACCGAAGCCCTGTTACTCCTGTTAATGTTTTTCCTATTTGTGTCATTCTGCAGCACAGGGTGAGGAGTTAAAGCAAAACAGAGCGGATTAATCAAACAAAACCACCAAACAGGTCAGCTTCAAGTAGCACAAGGGAAAATTAGTGGTATAGAAAGAAACAAGATCAGCAAAGGCACAATACTGACAAAAGCATCTGCAACAGCCAAAAGGCCACACTTCCCTGGATTCCCAGCCTCCCTTGAGCTTGCACACAGCTCACGAGCCACGACCCCCACGGCCACATTTCTGTTTGGCAGCACAGAGAGGAAGAGCAGCAGCTGCTCAGCTGTGCCCAGGTGAGGGCAGGGCTGTGCCCACCATTGCTGTGCACAATAACCTGGATTTAGGCTACCCCCAGGTGCTCAGAACCAAGAGGCAGCACAGGCTATGGGTCACACACTGTTGTGGTGAAATGTTTTTTCTCTCTTTATCATAAAAGCAAAGCAGCCACTTGCTGAACTCTGGTTGTGCTTCACTTTGGTCATACACTGGAGTTAGGGTTGCTTGATGTGATTTTGAGGGTTGCAATGGACCACTTTAATGAATTTTGAGTAGAAAAAAATAACAAGTACTTGTTAATTTTCCTACCTTACCCTGTTTTCCTTAAAAAGATATTTTTGCCAAGTTCCTATTGATCAACATTCTTATGTAACTTACTGCATCCACTCCTGCTGCATCCTTGCAAAAACGTACTAGAACTGTGATGAGAGAACTAGGAAGTTTGTTTGACTGATACTGGCTCAAGCAGGACCATCTCTTGCCAACTGGAGGAGAGGGACACATTGTAGGACTTCAGTAATCAGCTTAAAAAAAGTCCAGGCAGGTTGAAGCCACTCTCCAGGGTGTACCTTCTTGGAAAGGCAGAACACAGCAGGAAATGCCTGACTAGGCAAGTTACAACAGACAAGTTGGTGCAGTTTTCCTAGTTTACCATCTATGGAATTATTTTTCTCCAAATCTCGTTTTTTTTTATTTCCCTGTTCAATGATGGTGGGTTTGTTTTTCAGCTGACTGAAGTTTAACTGTTTCCCATCAACATAGATCACCAGGATTTTCTGGTATTATCAACAATGTGCTGAAGGTTATTAAGGACAGCCTTCTGCAGACTAGCAATAGTGTCTCCTACCACTGACTCTTATTTCAGTGAATCCTCATTTTCCTTCCTGGAATTACTCCCCCAGGGGAAAACCCAAGGCCAGGGAGAACTGGTGGCCACAGCATTTTTACATTCACAGACTTTTTACTCTGAAAAGGTACAGAAGTGCAACAGAAATTACACAGAGCCTTTGAGCCACACTTGCACACAGCCCATAGTACAAAGTCTTGTAAAGTAAGAATTATTTTCATTTAGAAAGTAGTGTAAATTTGTATTTAGAAGACACACATAACTGTGCATGTCTCTTCTTTGCTCTCCATCTCCCTGGCCCATGGCCATGGTCCACCATCAGGGCTGTGAATGAGTGCTGCAGAAATGAGGCCTATTCACCACACTGCTGGACATGGACACACAAGATCACACCTGTTTCTCGTGATGAAGACAATAAAGCAGCATGACAACCTGAAGAGACTTGTCAGAACAAAGTCTGAGCACAGTTACACAGTTCAGGGCCAGGGAATGCTGCCTGGACAAGGGTAACAGAACAAACACTTCCTATCTTTACAACCTCATCCATTGACAAGAGTACAGGAGCAAGTACCTGCACTTGCTGCTGCACTGGAAAGCAACAGTTTGTTTTGATTTCTAGTTAGCCAAGTGCTAAATTACAAAATAATGCCTTTATGTGAAATAAAAGAAGGCCTTTTATAGAGCCCCCTGGTGAGGCCACTGGATTCCTTTCTTCCCAAGGCACTAAGTACCCTCAGCAGGAAGGGGAGCTCACTTTTAAAGGTTCCTTCTCGGAAGCGTCTCCTGTGTTATCGCTGGTCTTGTACTTGCGCTCCTTGTCTCGGTGGTCGATGGTGGAATAGCCATCTGAGGAGAAAACACAACAGTCAGGCATGAAGCAAAAACAAGAGCAGAACCAGAGCTGATGCAAGCAGAATTCTTCAGCAAAGGAATAGGAAAACAAACCACCACAACCCAAAGATGCCGGCAGCCTGCTTCTCATGTGCTCCAGCTCTGAAATTTCATTTTTACCAGCTAAAAACAAACAGAGAAGCCTTCTTTTTATAGCACTGCCAGATGCTGGCACTCATTAGCAAGCAGCACTGTTTTCATCCCAGCCTGCTGCACTTTTTAGTGTGCCCAAGGAAAGCAGCAAGTTGTCATCTCATGCCCTGTGGCTAATGAGCTCCAAATTCAGCCCAAATCCTGCATTCCTTGCTTAGCAGCCTGATTAATTGGCTGTGTTCATTCTCTGAATGCTCTGCAGCCTGTTACCACTTTTCCTGAGCCTGACTACTAGCAGGACATGACAATAATTTGGAAGAGTCCCCGTCAGAGCACTGAGAGAAAGGGCCTGTCGAGTTGGAAGAAATCTCAATGCAATCCCTGCTGTGCTTGGGCTGTCTTTCATTACGAAACAGCACCTGTTGGTGCCTTTTCTCCTGACAACTAAGGAACAGCATGAAAGCATGATCAACACAAGGAAGAAAACTGTGAGAGGGTTTTATAAAGAAATAGCTGTAATTATTGCAGAACCTTTGCTTTGAATCATTGTCAGACAATGCAAAACTTAATTTATTTTCGTGATGCATCAAATTTCCCTCATTATCAGTGACAAATAGATCTTTGCTTGCTCTGCTTTGACAGCATTGTAATCTGGAGTAAACAACACCCAAATTTATACCTCCCTGTAGGCTTTTGTTTTCCCCTGTGTAATTGAGGGATCATTAATGTTTTCTTGTCTTGACAAACTGTGTTTTTAGAATACCACAAGAAGTTTTACATAAACTATCAAAATGCCTCTCTCTCAGTTTGTTACTTGCCTGTAACAGGCCATTAAGGATGGGTGAGTCAGATGTATTTGTGGGCTTCTCATGGCACTGTTTGCCCACATGACAACTGCACACAGAGCCAGGTTAAACTGAGAAAAGCTGCAATGTTCTGTGTGCCTCAAACCCAAGTGCACACAGACCAGCAAACAAGCACCTGAAGCAGGATGTGTTTTTGACATCAAGGGCAGTAAAAGATGATTTAACCATGCTGACCAAAAATAACTAAAGAATTCTGGAGTTATACATGTAGTTCACAGATCATAAAGCATGATTTGCTACACAGCACTTAATTTACAATTACTTGTTGACAATCAAGATGCCTGACATTCTTAGCTATTCCTTTTGAACAAAAAAAGAAAAAAACCAGCTGCACCCAGCTACCCAGCCAGCGCTTGTGAGGAATGCACGACCGATAACTCTCCTTCAAATGACAGGCATGAACATTGCTAGTAGGCTATGTCCTAATCTACAGATTCATCATCTAGTTAGGACAAAATACTTCACAAAAGTATGTATTCAGTGATGGAAAAACAGAAAATTAAACTTGCAGCATCTGGGTGGTAGCTTTTTACAATCTCATGGTAACTGTACTCACAAGGATGTAATGGATCACTTTGCATTTTTGTAGTGCCATCATCGTGGATGATCGACAAATGCTTCCAAAAGGAATTGCCAAGATACAATGGAAACCTTTGAACTACCCCAGAAAGCAACAACCACTAAGTGAAGCTGATGGCAGCTGTGATACTTCCCAGGGAGCAAGGTCATTAGTAAACTATAATAATAAAAAATAAAAACCAAACCAGTTATTTAATAATATGAAAAATTTAAAACTCCCATACTTAGCCAAGACACATCAGCAAGAGGAAAATCCCATTTTTGCACTGGCAGTAATCTGACAACAAAGAACACTCAAGAACTTTGCCCTTTGCATCTGAACTCCAACACATTTTGCATTTTTTGTCCTGTGGGCCCCTGGCCTGTACAGAGACTGGCACCCACAGGTCACGTGTCCAAAATCCACACACTGTTCTACGCCTCTGTCAAGATAAGCAGCAGCAGAGATAGGAAGTTCATGATTTGATCAAATAAAATGAGAAATTGAAAGAGGGTGCATTACAGAAGAAATACCTCATTGCCCTGAGAACCACAGCTCTGCAAGGAAGTTAGAAATCTGCAGTTAGAATCTGCTTCTCCCATATTTCAGATTCATTTGAAGAGGCAATCAGAATTAATTGCTTCTGTGGCATAAAGATCTATACATATCTTGCTGCTCCAAGGTATTAAGTACTTTACTTTGACTTAATACAATCTTTGGTATAGACAAAAGTTACTTTGGTCAATAGAGGAATATCCCATCCTTGGCTTGTTTACTTCTCTCTCTCAGCATCCTGCTTGTTGTTGTCTCTGTTGCTTCTTTATCTCCCCCTCACTCTACAGCAACATTTTTATGTCATCACCAATTACAGGACCAAATACATGCCTGCCAGAGTCAGTCCATCTGTGCCCTCACACAGCTCTCAACTTACAAAAGATCAAACCTCTAAACCCATCAAAGAGAAGGAGGAGAGAGGAAAAGTCATGGCTGAAGATGGGCATGGAGGATAGTGGCATTTGAACTCTGTCTATCTGGTCTGAACAATCTCACTTCCCAAGTGCTCCTGTCTGAGTGCCTACAGGTTGACAGAGTTTTGGAGGATTTGGCACAGGCTGGAGATCACCATTCTGCTGCCTCTGCAGACAGCTTGGGGACAGAGCCCAGGCACACGGTGACAGTGGCACTGCTGCTCTGCAGCCTGCCTGCAGTGGGGACACCTGACAAACCTGATCATCCCATGGTGACTTGTAATACAGGATTTCTTCTGTCTCCCAGCACATCCACACCCTACCCAGCTGTTCCACTGCCCCAGACAGCAGGGATCTGACTGCTCTATACTGATAGCTGATGGGGAACAGATCCTTCTGCCTCCCTAACCACTGACAGCCAAGTGATTTCCTCTGAAAAGAAGGATGACCCCGACAGCATTAGGAAAGAAGCTGAGACAGCATCAGCAATTTTCTTTTTGTGATCTTGAAGCAGAGCCCATGTGGGTTAACAGGAAAGGCCCAGGCACCAGGACAGCCTAAACACTGGTGAGAAGAGCCCACAGAGGAGGGGCAGAGAGGTGGGGATGTTCTGGAACCATCAGTCCTGTGTGGATGTACTCTGCAGGGGATGAACACTGGGCTGGAAGGACCAGTTCATTCCAGAGTGAAAAAAGAACAAAAACTCCAGAACACAACAGTTCACTATGAAGTTAAAATCTGAAAATATAGTCTAGAGCAGCCTTCTCATAGTAATATGCCCATAAGACAAAAAACATGCAGCATTTGAAAGAACCTGAAGAGAAGAGATGAAATGTTGTTATTCCAGTTCCCTGAAATTAAGGATGGTAAACTGGAAAAATGAAGTTGTGCTATTTCAGAGGTCAGCTGTAAAGAGACTAAAGTCATAGTCATATTGGAAGTATAAAGCACTCAAGAGCTGGAATCAGGAAAACTTGACAGATCTCATCTTCTAAAGGTGATAAAAAGCCTGGAGAACAGCATGGCCCAGAGAATCTGCCTGATGCTGTACATATGCTGTAAATTTGCATTTTGTTTTGTACTCAGGGCTGTACCAGTAACTCCTGAGAGCATAAGGCAGCAATTAATGCTGAGATTATAAACAATCAGCACTGCCCATTCTGCAGCACCTGCCAGCACACAGCTATTCCTGCCAGGCAATCCTCTATGAGGAGATTTTCTTCCATTGTGAGAACAAATGTTTCAGCATTCCCTAAGGCAAAATACATATGGACAGTTGATTCATGGCAGGTGGCATCTCATTTTTCCAAGAATTCAAAAGGTAATATATACCTGTTCTTTTACTTTCTGAACATGCTTGGCTTTAACTTGCTATTTTATTCAATCACAGTTACTAATAGCAGTGTACCAAACTGTTTGATCTGGAGGCATTCATATAGGTGCATTTAAATAGGTGCAAATTCTCAAGACACCACACAGCATCTTTATCTACCTTGGTAAAGGAAAAAACCCTACAAGTTTAACACTACAGAGCTTATCAGTCTCAAAGCACATCACTGACAGTCAGTGGCTCTTCTCAGTCTAGAGGAAAAGCCAGGCTCATTTAGATGCAGGTAAATGGAAAGTAGTCATGAATATCACACACTAACCTATTTTTGGTTTTACCTACAAAAACAAAGGCAGAACAGATTTAAATACAAGCAATACATTGAAGTAAATTTTCAACTCTTTCTTTCAGAATCCTGGAGACTTCCAGATCTGTAATAGGGAATGCAGCTGCCTCAGGGACCAAAGAGCAGAATGAAAGCTGGGTCAGTGTACCTCCAATATATGCATGAAGTAGTGGGGGAAATTGGTGTGACACTCTACATGTATACAAAGAAAAAAAAAGACGATGACCAATCTTTTGTGAGGTAATGTTTTGTTTTAAATGTCAGCTTTATCCATCTGAAATAATATCTCCTAGAGAAACAGTTGAACTTTCCTGTGAGTGACAGTGTGCTCTATTGGAACAGACAGAGAGTTTGATCTATGACGGAATTTACCTGGGCCAAGTTCATCCATAGGTATCATATCACGACTCCCAGACTTCTCATTATCTAGAAAACAGAAGCATTTGAACAACTTGAAGTATATTTGCTTTTCTCAAAACCTGGTAGCTCTGAATTAGTCACAAAACCAGAGAGGTTGATAAAGTACTGAATTCAGAGATTATTGTAAAAAAATTCCCAAACTATTCCATTGTTATCCATTCAGAAAGGGAAGTCTGAATCAAATTCTCCAGAGAGCACATGTAAGCCATGTCTGTTCTGCTTTGGCACTGTAATACAGGGCTTTCTCTCCCCAACAGAAACCACAGTTCTGCTTTGGACTACCTACCACGATTAACAAGCTTCTCTTTGGTCTCTCCAGAGTAAAAGAGAAGGAAAGTAAGTAAGGGTGAAGCTTCTCATGGCACACCAGCCAATCCAGCAGCCTGCTGAGCCAACAGAAAACTAATCCACAAAGAAAACAAGTTTCTTGTCACATCAGCAAGCTGACCCAAATCATCCTCAGTCTCCATCATGTGTCAGGTTTGATCAAAGACAGGGAAGGTGGAACAGGCAGGGCAGTGTAGAGCTGTTGTTTCTGCAGTAGCCTGCAGTTAAACTAGACAAAGTGCACCAGGCAAATCCTGCTCTTAGCAACCAGAGCCAGGCTCAGAGACACAGCAATTATGGTGAAATCAAAGCTGGTGCTACACTGATGTTGGTGTGGCTGTGCCTCATGAAAAAGCACAGGCAGGATTAGTTGGAGCTTGAATAAACTCATCTCCAATAAAAAAGTCCTGCATGGTAGAGGAAGAGGCTGTGCCAAAATGGGCACCTCTATTTAAAAAATGGAAAGACTCCAGTACAGAGTAGGGGTAAGGTCGACTCCACTTGCAGGAAGATGAAACTGATAACACTGCATCCAAGTTGAGAAAACAGTATCAGTAGTGTACATTTTGGAAGGAAAGAAATTCTATCCATCTCCAGGTAATAGAGACTGATTATTTGGAGACTGTGGGGTAAAAATCACACATGAACAATGCATTTTTACCCCCTTGTGCTGTAACAGTCACAGCAAATCCAGAGAACCAGTAAAGCACTCTATGACAAGCGATAAAGAGAAGAACTGACCTTGACTTTTATCCACCAGAGGCAAAGTGCTGTCATCATAGCCAGACCTGCCAGCAGTACCTTTGGAGCCCTTTGGAGCTGCAGAAACAGACTACAAGAGAAAAACCACACAAACACCAAATTGCTACTCATGGAAACTGAACAATACAAATAAATGAACCAACAGCACAGAGAGAGATTATGGAATGCACTTAAGCCCCCCTTCTGTTGGTAATATGGAACTGGAGGATTTTGTATTTTCACATAGATTTGATAGAGGAGTTTTCTCCCTGTTTTCTCAATGGCAGCACTGTTGCCCTCTGAAAGAAACAAAAGCCTTCCACAAGAAAAGGTGAGGAGGCTGCATGTCAAGCAGAGGTGGCTGCCCTAGGCTGCTGTACAGAACACAAAGGAGACACAACCAAGACAAGACATGCTAATTCTTCCACTGATAAATTGGGGCAGTTGGGCTGTACAAGATGGCAAACTGCCCAAACCTAAAGAGCTGCATTCCACAGACCACAGCAAAGTACAGCCAGAACTCTATGCAGGATGGTATTACTGAGTAGGGTACAATCCACTGTGCTCTCACCTGGAAGAACAGAAGTGAAAACCAAGATCTACAGACTGCAAGGTTGGCCTAAGTAAGGACATCTCCATTCAGGCATTTCCAGAACTTATTTAAGATCTTTACCTGAAAGTGTGACTTGTTCCACCCATCCTTCTGAAGGGCATTTCGTAGTTCTTTATAGCTCCAGATCATCTGAAGAATGTGAGATGCTGCTTTTGTTTCTCTGGGAGACTGGCTGATTTGCAAGATAAAATGACAGTTTAAGTATCAAGCACTGTCCAACTATTTGTATGTTAATACCTAATACTCCACACAGCTATTATTCGAACCTGTAAGTAATGGGATAGATGTGAAATCATTCAGTGACTTCTTAATATCTATAGGTATTTGCTGACAAAACCAGAAACTGAAATGTTACGAATTTTGCACATTTCTGTGTTTTCACATGTATTGCTGGACAAGCACTGTCAGGTCAAGTCAGCAGCCCTGGTGACACTTTTGTCTTGTAGCTGTCATGAACAAAGAACAGACAGATTCCATTCTGCCTGGATTTTCATGAAAAAAAAAACCCAAACCAAAAAAACGTTCTAAACTGCTTTTCAAACCTTCATCCCAATGTACATCTATTCCTCACAATTCAATGAAGTTGCTCCATGGTTTAGAACACTTTACACAGTAATTTCAGTCAGCAAAAAAATGTAAGCTGTTTTTAAATTGAAAATGAAATTTTATCTACTCCTTATTAAGTCAGTACACAGACACCTTTTATAATCTAGAACAGGCCTAGATTTTTGGTGGCTCTCCTATTTTGTAGCAATACAACCCAAGAAGACTACTTCAGCCACTCTCCCAGAAGTCTGTAGCAAACACACCTGCCATGTCTAACGACATGAACTACACAAAACAAAGTTTCCTCTACAGCAGTCAGAACAGAGAGTTTTTAAATGGAAGAAAATTTGTCACTTCAAATCCTCACCAGCAGCCCTTTGGCCAGAACAATTACCACACATCATTAACCATTTCACTTGAAAGAAACAGATTTCATCACTGGCATTCCAGCAGTGGAACACTGCCACAGAAAAAAGGCCTTCCAAACTACAATCAAAGATCATGGTTTCACTGCAAATGCTGCCTGGTAAATGTATATATGGTGCTAAAATGACAAGGACAAGGAGAGAGCACGTCTTAACACGACTGAAGTGACTCATCAATTAACCTTTTTCATCAAGTACCTTTTAAAGGTGCTGGCTGTTTTTACTTTGTTTATATTAACTGCTGAAATGACAGCTCTGAAAGGTTGGGATGCTCCAATACTTTCACAAAGCAAAAGCTGCTGTTCATAGTGACATTTTCATGTTTGCAAGGAGTTCTTATGCATTTTGCTTTCAATTGTCACTTACCTTGACTTGCTGATAGCTACCAGCTTCTGAATGCCCTGTGTCTGGATCAGAGACCTTGCATTTTCTGAGCTGTCAGTAATGATTTCATGGATGGTATTCAACACTGCAACCACAGTGTCCTCTTCCAGGTTCTTTGCAGATCTCTGCTGCCTGCTGGGCAAATTTCTTACCAGCTCACCCATGGCATAACTACCTAGATAAGGGGAAGAGATACCATTAGGCAGCCCTAATAATCATTTCAGCTTCCCATCCTGAATGATAAAAGTCAATGGTGTTTGCTATGTTGAAAAAAATCCCTTATAATGCATGTGTTTTAAACCACAGGACTGTAACTTCACAGGGTATTTATCATTCATTCATTATTTCAAGGCAATTGACAGCTGATAAAGCTAAAATAAAGTCCTTCATCACAGATTCTGAAAGGTATTGAGGAGAGAAAAAAGGCATTTTTACTGAGAATTTTACAGCCCACATCTATCATATTTTGCAAAGCCTGAGGCAAAAAAGCATCCAGTAGCTGCTAATGCCAGGTATTCATGCTAATACACGCACATGGTTTACTCAACTTAGCCCTGTAATAGGCCTTCTGAGGCAAGGTGTGCAGCCATGCATTTATTAACCTTCTCCAACAAAGCTAAGAGAGCCTTTTCTCCTGGGTGCAGTTAGTCTTCTCCATGTATAGTACTTGAGAAAAAACAGGGAATCTGGACTTTATCATTCCCAGGTATCCATCTGTACCATTTGCCTGGCTACACCTCTGAACTATTAAAATGAGAACCTGACATATTAAGGTAGAATCCCACCTTGCTATTTGCCAGTATCAACTTCAATGATGGCCCTAAAAATGTCACCAGTATTTCCTGGCTTGACAAGGCTAGAATTTAAACAAATACCTTAGTTAAATACAGAAGTCATCTACAGGAAAAAACTCATCTCAGCTGAATCTTTCAAGATTCCTGCTTATTGGCAGGTGAATGTTATTTACCACTTTGGATAGGAACTAGAGCAGTGCTGAACACCAACTTGAAGAATATTAAGTTGTTTAGAGTCCAGCTTCTACAAGTACCCACCAGGCAAAAGGATGAGGGAGGAAGCAAAAAACCCAAAGGTACAACTTTAGAGCTCCTTGCACATCTCCAGGTTAACTCAGCATAAAAAAGCCCAGACTCCCTCTCTAATTGGAGTAGCAGGCAGGCCTAAGGAGCAACATCTATGAGCACAAGTCCCATAACAGCCAGAGCTAAGGAAAAGATAAGAAACCTCTTAACCCATCCAGCCCTCTGCACACCTACACACACTACTCTCCTGCAAAAAAGTACACCAAGTACACCTAATGGTTCTCCCAAGTTAGAGATCTCCTTCAAGCCACAGCTTGTTTGAGTGGGCTGGAAATACATTCTGAGCTGACAGCTCCCCACTGGGCAGATACAGCTCAATCCCAGAGAGCATGGATGGAACTGCAGAGAGAACAAATCCTCAGCAAAAGGGACAAAACCTCAGGTCTCTCAAGGGTCTCCAAGCTCCCAGGCTGGTTAGAGAAGTTCAGAAGATACCTATGAGATCTTTATTGCGACGATCCATGGAGAGGTTTCTCAGGGCAATGGACACAGCCCTCACAACCTTGTCTGAGTCGGACTGGAGCAGCTCCACAAGCACCGGCAGCCCCCGCTCCTTCCGCACCGTCGCACGGATGTACGTGGACCACTGGTTGGGACACACAGGGGAAAAGAAACAACACCCAGTACTGTGAGTTCATATACCTGCTCTTCCCTTGCCCCTGGCATTTCCTTCAGTGCTGTAACCCATTTTTTCTCTGCAAAGACCAGTTAGGTTGTGTGTGCTGGTTTATCCCATTGCCTTAACCCTTCATTCAAGTCCACCAAGAACCAAGGAAGAAAGGGTGTATGAGTTCATCATACAGCTCTGGGGAAAGAGGGCAGGAACAGAAGGAAGGAGCATCATCTGCCAGCATCTGTTCTGTACACACCTTGGTGTGAAAACACATCCCTCTGGATTAGGAAAAAAGAGGTCACTTGGAGGAAACACTAAAGCATCTAAAGATCTGTTATCTTCCTCCTCCTCCAATTTCATGGTTTTATTCTGTTTCATGATTGTTTTTCAAACAAACCTGTATTATTTAAAGTAAGCTGGCAGGCAGCTGTGAAACACCACCCTGCCAACCCTCAGGCTGCTATCAGTCCCACTTTGCTGAGCAGTTCTAGAAGTAATCAGGCAAATCTTTGCAAGAACTGCCTGATTAGCGCTGGGGATGCTTCACAGAGGGTATTAGGGGACACTCTGGAGTGCAGTTTCCTCAGCACACTGTCAATCCAACAAATTAAGTATTCAGAACATGTAACTATCTAATACCAGGCTTTTCTGAATGGACAAAGCAATGCTTAAGTGGCTGAAGTGGTGGCACCGAGCATAGTTCCACTATGTAAACATCACCAGCCCAGAAGATGCAAAATGTGTTCAATAGGTGAATGGAACTGATTTCCTCGACATTCCCACCTCCTTCGTTTTTAAAGGAGATACAAATGTACAAAGTAACAGTGCACCTACAATGGGACATCCCCTTATTCTTTACTTACACAAAGGAAACAAAAAAAGACTGAAGACTGCACTCACCGTCCAGTTGCCAGCACTAAGGTTCTGCAAAGCTCCTGCTGCAGCTTCCAGAGTGTTGAAGTTCTGACTTTCAGTGAGGATGGAGAGGTACAGTCGGACCACATCTGGCTGGTACAATAATTCAAAGCCTGCAGGTGGGGCAAGAGGAGAACAGAAGCAAGAGAGGCAGAGAACACAATGTATAAACAAACACATACCCCTAATTTAATAACCTAAGAGAACAACCGAAAGCTGTGACAACACAGAAAGAAGAGCTTTTGTCATGTCCAAGACATTCTATCCCCAATTGCTGGAAATGGTGGAGACACCAACACCTTAAGGTTGTCAATAAAGGCTGGCAATTGTCTTAAGGTTGACAGTTCTTTCTGAAATCTGTGCTATGCTATGAGCTGCCCAGAATGCAGGTGGTGACAAGGGACGATTTTTGCCTGTGACAATTACTGCTTTGCATCTCTAGACTGGGCTGCAAATTCACCTTGTACTCCTGTCCTTGTTCAAATATCTCTCAATACTTTCAGAGACACAAAGAGCAGGATCAAACAGAGTGAGCTACACCATCCTGTCAGCCACACCCTGCACACACCTAGGGACAGAAGGAACAGGCACGATGTCAAAGTGACCAGAATCCCCAAGTGTGGGTGGCAAGGAGGAACATTGACTCTAGTTCAGACATTCAGCACAGAACGACGCCGGCATTGTCCCACTCTGGGAGACTGTGACAGTCACATCTGTTCACTGCAGATCCCCAGAGTCACTGTATCAGCTGTGCAGTTCCAGCATGACAGGAATGAGAGCTATTGCCAGCTCTGCCAAGGATTTCCTTTTGTGATGCTGAGTAACTGACAGTACCATCGTGTTCTGACTTCCTCATCCATAGGATTAGTATTTATGCATCTACCCACCTTAAAAGGATCTTAGGCAAGAACTCCATCACTCCAAATTGCTGAACAATTTGAAGCAATTTTTATCTATCTTCTTTCACTAAGTGTAGCATGACACACTGCATCAATAAGGGTGGAGTATGCCAAGCATTTGCTTAAAGGACTGGCCAGACAAACCATCTCGAAGTGCTGTTCAGGTTATGTGAACAAAGAAACTAAACCCCTAAATTGCCTTGGTGAGTGCACGAGGGCACAAGCAAGCTCTGGTCAACAAGACTCATCTGCAGTCACTGTAGCTGGTCTGCTGGCCTTTGGGATGTTTGCAGTAAGTAAGCATTAGGTTATGCAGCAAGCATTACCTAGGAGAGGATTTCTAGAAAAACATGACATCAAAGAAAGCATAAAGGTGTGAAGAAGCCTGGGCAAAGAGGCAATTTCAAGCTTGTTTTGAGCAAAGTAATTTTTATTATTTGTACACATGAAAAGAATGTTCTTCACATAACAAGATACTCTCCTAGAATTATAGCATAATTCAAAGCAAGTTTTCCACTAGTAAGACAGGAAATCTCCAAACACAAATCACTTTCTCTCTTCAGCACTTTCTCTTCAAAATCACCCATCTCTCATACACACATCACAGACTATCATATTTTAGACATCTTCCAGCAATGCTGTCCTATCCAGTGGATATATATTTTTTTTCTTCCCTGTTGCTAAAGGCTTCCTGAAATAAGAGCCTTGATTTTAAATTAAAGTATTTCTCCACATCCTTCATATGGCTCTGTAGCTTTCTGAGTCAAGATCTCAGAACTCAGCCCTCTAACACTGTCTATGAACACAAGCTGTGTTAACCCCCTAGCTGTACAGCTGGTACTTATCCCACTGAAAGCAAGCAAACACCATCAGCCAAGGTTTGTTCCATACCAAAAATCCCATCTATGCACAAGGATCCACGAGGATCCATGTACTGGTTCATACTTTCCGTGCTCAGCCTCTCATGTGCATCCCAGCACGCCCGGGTCCTTCTCCAGTGACCGGATACTGAACCTGCTCCACGGCCGTGTCTCCTTTCAATGCCACCACTTGCCTGCTACACATGACACCCCAGGGATACGTGCAAACACAACAGATGGCAACCCCCAAAGGCATCCTGCCAATCCATACCACTGACTTTCCTCTTCTTGAGTGTCCTGCCCTTGCACTGGGATCATTGCCCTCTATATTGAATGCTGAGGAAAAACTACCATTACTTAAGCCATGAAGCATGAACAGTTGTACAGCTTTTCTCCATTCCTTGAATAAGTCTGTGATTATCTGACTCCAATACGACCTTCATATCACCCCTTTCCCCTGCCACTTCACAAGGTGAATTGGCAACCTAAGAACTTCTCAAGAAAAAACACTGCTGATAAGCGCCTGGTGTTGCTTTCCTGAACACTAATACTTAAAAATCTCTTAGGATAGCCTACTGGAATTTTGACACTGTTATCTTTTAAGGAAGCTTTGCTGAAATGTAAATCAGATCAGCAGAAGAGATGAAGGCAGGTTCATTAACAGATAATATTCATACAGAACATTTTCTGCTTCTGTATCTGAGCTCAGACTTGCCTGTGGTTCAGCAGGATGCACTTGTTCAGCCACAGTCTTCTGTTTAGAAGTACCCAGTTGTAATTTTGTCACACTTGGAAACAGCCCCACACTGTTACTCTGTCCTGGTTATTTAAATGCAGTCTGTGATGTGCCCTTCCTGTCAGTCTGTACACTCCTTTTTGACTAGACACACTTCCTTCCTCAGCACCTTGCTGTGTGTGAATGCTGAGATGCTCCAACCCCCTCCCCTCTGCTCCCCTCCTGTGGCCACAGCTGCATTCCAGTCACGCACCTCTCACCCGTTCTCTGTCATTACCTCTCTCCATGCATGAAAGCCTCTCCTTTTTCCTACTTACTACTGTAAGAGCATCTCAAAAATACCTTCACCTTCTCTCTTCAATAATGCACAGCATTTTCTCTACCAACCACCAGTACCTTCCTGCTTTGGGGCACAACTCCTTGGCAGGTGGTGGATGATTCCCACTTCACTCCACAGCCCCCCCTTTTCAACTACATTTATGCCTCTGCCCTATTGGCACCTGTCTCAAACAGAGTCAGTGAGTGCTCCACACCACCACAGCTCTGTCCTCCCTCCTGCCTCCCCTGCTCCTCTCCCAGCACTGCAGCTCTTCTGGGTCAGCCTGGCTATGCCAGGGAAAAGCAGCAGGAGTACCAAGAATGCCCCTCATGGAGGCTGCTCATTAGCAGGGATGAAAAACTGATAACGAGAAAGTTGCTGCTGCACTGGAGGGTTTTCCCTCTCTGACAGCAAGCTGACACTTTTCATAAGCATTATAGTGCCTTAAAAAGAAACAAACAAGTTTTAGATTTTCTCCATCTGCCTCCTGTCCTAATGAATCCAGCTCTGCTATTTATAGGATGCACTTCGTCTGAATTATTATGAATTTCCTACCAGTGTTGCATGAAGGCCTCGTACATTTTTCCATGAAGCGCTTCAAGCACGTTCCTGGGAAGCACAGCTGGTCTCACCTCCATTAAGCACTTGCTTCTTTTCAAAACTCATTTCCTTAATTTCAAGATCATCATAATTATTTTTTCAGGTAATGATACTTTTATGAAATATACAGCTAACTCCTTACACCCATTTAAAAATGGATAGAAGAAATGAGAAAAGAGGGTCATTAGTGATAGAGAATACATCAAATGATAAAAACATCCATTGTTTTTCTTTTTTCTTTAAAAAGCTGTTTTAATTATAGCCCAGATTTAGCACTGTCCTTAAAAAGATAATCTTCCTGGAATAAATGAGATTTTTCCATTGGTTATGGATTTGTGCTGAATTGCAATCTACACTGTTTCCTCCTGGAAAAGCATGGAGATAAGTAATTTATTGCTTCTTTCACTGCAGAAAGCAAAGTAAACAAGTTCACTGTATTAGCTTTAGGCTTTCAGAGAAATGCCTTGGACAGTCACGTTGCTGTGAGCATCAGACCTTTTGCAGTGTGTGAGCATTCCCCCAGCTACCAACAAGAAGAACGTGTCACAGACAAGCATCTTCCATATTAGAGTCATCTCCAACACACTGCAGTCTCATCTTTCTGAGAAATAGGAAGATGAGCTTTTTTGCAGCAGAGCTGCTCAGAACTGGCAAATGGGACTATTTCTGTGTAAAGTTCACATTACCAGGACAGGATGTGGCAAGTAGATTATCTGCCCAGGGAACAGTGACAGCACAGACAGCAATTTGAATCCTGAATGGAAAACACCTGAGGAATTAGCTGGGGCTGATTAGCCATCTCCATCCCTTCAGCCCTCAGTCCCCTTGCTGAGAATGATGCAGCAGCTCCTGGATTATCTCCTCCACAAAACTATTTGCTTTCATCTTGGCAATGCTGATCCTGTGCCTATACTTAGCTACATTCTGGCAATAACATAAGATACTGCACCAGGTGCCTATCTCTGATACACTCGCTTAATCCCAAATTCAGACAACTCTTTTTGGAACAAGGCTGCCAAACCTATTCCCCTTCACCACCCATTCCATTTAGGATTTATTCTCCCACCACAGGCATGGGAAATTATACATGTGGATGCTGGACAGATGAGGAATCTCCTGCTGCTGCAGCAGAAATACACTGCCTAATTTTCTATCCACACTAAACTTCTGGACTGATGCTTAAAACAACTGTCAAATTTCATAGGAAGCTGAAGGATGTTGGCAACACTGTAGAAAAAAACCTAAGCAGCTCCTAAACCGGGGGCGGGGTGTGTGTGTGTGTGGGGGTGTGTGTCTGTGAATCACTAAAGTGAACTCTGATAGATACTCACTCTTGCTGTGTGCAGACACAATTGCCACTTACTGCACTCTGCTTCCCGACAGAAGCTGCAGCAGCACCTGGACTCCTTTCGGGCTGCCACTACAGCAGGAGTTGAATTCCCGGCCCACAGCCCCGAGGGGCTGCCGGCTCTGAGAGCTCCGGGGCCGCTGTGCTCGCCCTGAGCCGCACCTGCAGCGCCGGCAGATGGAGCGAGAGGAGCCCGGACCGCACCTCCTCTGCAAGGTCACCCGAAAACAGACTTTGCACAGTGAAAAAACATCTCCCACAGCAACCAGGAAGCTATCAGCCAAAAGCCAAAAACAAAAGAAAAAATTAAAAAAACAGAGTAAAGAGTCATGACAGTAAAAGAAATGAACA